GCTTTTGGGCAAGTAAACACGTCAAGAAAAAATCGTATTATGAAGCGTAAAAAATTGGCAATATTTTTATTTCATGAATTTTTTAAATCTGAAAATTGATCTAAAAAAGACCAAATTACTGCTTTTAAAGATTCTATATTCGGTCGCTCACACTGAAAAAAATCCCAGCAATTAATTGAAAATGTTTTAAACAGAATTAATATTGATAGCCGTGTTTTACAAAGATTATACTGTTTTTTTTTTATTGTAAGAATGCAGTTTTGGTGAAAAGTTTTGCTAAAAATTTTCTACGTTGAATTTATAAGTATTTAAGTAGAAAGAAAGGAGAGAAAAAGAGAAAGGAGGGTAGGAATGGGATAAAACTTGAGGGCCGGAAATTAGGCCTCCCCTGAGCGACCGTCCCCTTTGGGGCCGGTCTCCGACATTTTCCACCTCTGGGCACCCCCAAACATGAAGGTCTAGAACCGCCTATGAATTTCTCACGAGTCTCAGGGTTCATGCCTTAGTGCTCATAGTTCTGTTTGGCAGACTTACTTCCAATTGGCAAAGCACAGAATGTAAGAAATCCGTCCACCAGTAAGTTAAGCGCCCATTCCGGGATATTCCTTTTCATCCCCTTAAGATATCACTCAGACAGCCTAACCAGCTCACTCATATACCAATTCCAGTCATTTACCAATTTCACTATGTAACGCCGTTTGTTGGTTTTTATTTTAATTCCTTTTTTTATTTTTAATTCTTTTTTAGTAGTTGATAACGGTGCCGTAAGGTACCGAAACGTCCTGCCTTTATATTTTGTATTTTAGCCTTGTTCCCGCTTTTTCCTGTGTTTTCGATTGTCGTTTCCGCTTCGGGCTGCTTTTACATTCTCTTTGTTTTCCACTTACTCATATAGATAAATCGCGAATTCCCGAAAACAAATCTAAATCCTCAGCCGGTCTGGCAGGGGCGCCGCGCCACGCCGCGCCTTCGGAACAGCCGTGTTCCACGAGAGCAGCGGCGAGAAAATGTATGAGGGCCCAGGAGACCAGCCCGGTGCCTTACTCCACCCCACCCCATCCCTCCCTGATTGCGGCTCATTCAAACTCAAATCGCATTCCGAAACCGATTCTGCAGTGACTGAAAATCAAAACGCGAATAAAAAGCGCAATCTCGCACCCCCCCCCCCTTCGGCATTTCTTCGCACTGGAGTGAGACCCAGCCTACGGCGCAGTTTTCCCCCCAGTTATCTGTCGTAATTGTGGGTTTTAAGTGTTCGAAATGTCTATTTCTCGAAAAGGTTCGACTAATTTTTTTTCAATATTATGGCGAGATCCAAAAAAATCTGAAACGGACCTTCAGAAAGAGTCATTAGATCAAGCATCCAGTAGCGATTTTGCAAGTTGACAACACTGATTTTCCTCCATTTAAATCCATTAAAAAGATCGATTTAGGTGAAGCAAGCTGCCTCATCAAGAATCGATTGTTTTATATACATTTAAATGAGGAAAACAACGTTGTCAACTTTCAAGAATCGTCACTGCGAGTATCGTATTGCACGTTTTATGCGAGCAGAACCGGATTAGGGGTGGGTGACGAATGAGGAGTGCCTGCACCTGGCGCCATCGCAAAAAAGGCGCTAAAATGAGAGGGTTGAGTCATCGGGGTAGCTCATCAATACCCAAAATACCCAAGGAATGTTATAAAAGCACTCGTTTAAGCATCGGCAATAAACGGAATCGAAAATTACGGAAACTAACGCTACAAATAAAAAATGGAAGGCGTTGAAATAATTCGTTAGGTAACCTGTTAGACAGACAAGAGCCGTGATCAAGTGCCGCAGAGCACCCGGGCGCGCTGTAAAAGCGGCTTTTATAAAAATGAAACGCGCCCAAGTGAAAACTTATCTCCAGTCTAGGAGAAGGAATGGAAATTTTCAGAAACAATAAAATCTCATGGGGGAGAGAGGAAAAATCGAGTGGAAATGGATGCATACAACACTCCTCGGGGGTGCGAAGCTATTCATCTTATCAAGGAAACCAATAAAAGTAATAGATGACGTCGCCATCAATAGCATGCCTTGAATTTTTTGTTTCGTGCCTCTGTAAAAACAGGCCGCTTTAAGTTAAGCCTCTGGTGTCTGGTCGATTTCAATTTAGCTTTGACACGGCCAGCTTAAGATATTAGCACCAAGTGAAGAATTTGTTTTATATTTTCGAGGCGGTCTCAATTATATGCTTCATTTTTAATTTCACCCTTTTACTAAGGAGTAGGCGCACTAACCTCCTCGAGGTCCAACCCCCCGAAGCGCTTCGCGCCTCAGGCGTTGTGTGTTACGCGTTCTGCCGTCCTGAGAAAGAACGTCATATGAGCCTTCAGACGTTGCCAAGTTTCCTCCGATAAAAATCCGCATTACTGGGAAAATTGTGAATATTATTTTCCAAAATTTTCAGACAATTTTATTCGCAATTTAATCTAAAATATCTGAAAATTTCCAGGCAAAGTATGAATGAGTGTCTTAAAAAATACATGTTTTATTAAGGGAAATTTGGCAATTCTCGAGTGTTCATACGGCGTTCTTCCAGGGTCGCCACAGAATATAGAAAATGAAATTCCCTGACACATTTTGGTGAAATTCCCTGATAATTGAAAGTGTGCCAGATGGTTTAGAAATAGATTTCAGTCAAAATGTGTCGATCGAAACGTCAAACCCACATTATAAAGCAAATGAAGGTGACTTGATAATTTTTTCCTGACATTTTCGTCATTTTCCCTGACATTTCCCGATATTCCCTGACTGTGGTAACCCTGTTTTCCTTAGCATGGCAGCGTTACTCATAAGATTTTATTTTAAGGAGTAAGATCTGTACGATTAATCGAGAGCGAAGCACTGGAAAAAAAACACATTGGATCTAGAGTCCAGACTCTTAAAAACATCGACAAGAAAAAATACTCTTGATTCAATCAGATTTAAGCTTAAATCAAGAACCAAGCCTCATAATTTGAGCGGATTTCCTTTTGATTTAAGCTTAAATCTGATTGAATCAAGAGTATTTTTTCTTGTCAATGTTTTCAAGAGTCTGGACTCTAAATCCAATGTTTTTTTCCAGTGAGTGATTCTGTAATTGGAAGGCGCACCGATTAATCGATTTTTTAATCGATAATAAGAACATTCCTAACGAAATTACCGAGGCGACGCGTGGCGTGTCCCACCGCGCGCCGATTCAAACGCTACACAAAACACCTATGATTTAAGCGGCACGATGCTAATCTTATTATTTATTTGTGTCGCTGCCTTTTTCCAGCATGCCCTCCCTTGCTCGCGTCCCGGTCTCACGCGTAAATCATCAATATTTCTGCCACTTTACGAATCCCGCCGTTCCGAAATGCGGATGCGATTCGCAGCACAAAGCACGGTTGCAATATTAATACAAACCACCCCCACCCCGCGCTACCCTGGCTCAGTTGGCGGCTTGTTGGGAAAAAAGGCGTACTTTTTCTACAAAAGTTGCCCGTTGATTTTTCCTAAGAAGCGAGAAGAACCGTAATTTCAACGATGCACTGTGGAACGAGTCTTTGGGAGAAGTCGGACATGAAATTTTTGACAAAAATTGAAAAATTTTCCGTTTATCTCGTCACAATTTTCATTTTAAAGAGCGCTTCTCATAGAAATTTTACGAGAAACCCAATGAAACTACTTTTAAAACATCAACATTTCATATTAATAAAGATATTCGCTTTCAAAGTTTTTAAATCATGTCCGACCTCTCATATTGACTCGATCCATTGTGCGACGGACCCAACCACTTCTTTTAGCGGTAGTGAAATTTCTATACCGCAATACCGCACTACCGAATTTTCACTACACAATTGTGTAGGATTTTTGGCGCTCTGAAAACCTTGAAAAGTCAGGAAAAGTCAGACATTTTACGGCAACCTGAAAAAGTCAGGGAAAATCAGGGAATTTATAGGACACGTCAGAGAATTCCACTTGTGGCATTAGCAAAAATCAGCGCAATTTAAAGGAAAAAAATTAAGTGAAAGCTTTGTTTGAAGGTTAGAGAATTCGAAATTTTGGAGTCAGGGAATTGGGAAATAAATACCTTAGTAGCACATCTTTCAAAATAACTCCAAAAAATGGAAAACTTCTATTTTCTTTAAGTTTGTTAGTTGTACATGAAAAGCTTTAAAAAAAGTCATGAATGGTCAAAGTTTAAGAATTTTACCATCAAAGGGGTAAAGAGAGGTAATCCGTACTTTTTACGTATTTTTCTTGTAAAAAGTACCACTTAGTCATTTTATCTTTGGTCTATTTTACTACTTTTTACAAGTTTTTTTAATATTTTATTTTATAAATTTTACGTCGTGCGCTACCACAGTACGTTATGGAAACCCCGACTTAGCTTTGTTTTCCAAGCCTAAAACTCAATTCCACGATTTTTTTAGCTTATAATTGCGAGCTTTTCTCTGAGAAAATCAGTAAATTTGACGAAGAAATGCTTCAGATTTAGGCAAGTGACTTTGATTAACGAGGTAAAATTAGAATAATAAAATGATTGATTTTGTGTGTTCCAGATTTCCAGCCTGAGTACTTCGGCGAGGAGGACAAGAAGAACTACCCGCAGAACGGACACGCGGGTCACCCGCCGGACCTGACACGGACCGTCGTGATCCCTTGCTACGAGTGTCCCTTCGGGGCCGTGCCCACGGGAAAATACACAGGGATCCCTCGCTCGGGCAGCGAACACCACTATGATGTCCCCCACCTCCCTCAATCGTCCCCCCAGAACTCAGCCTCCAACGCGGACAGCCTTAGCAGCTTCACCTGCTCCTGTAAGTATTCACGCCAAGCAGCAGTGATCGCAATAAGTTGCGATTTAATCGGAGAATGTATCGCGATTTTATAGACGTCGAGTTATTTCAACACTGTCGGATGAAAAATTGCGATTTCATTGCGTAAAGTTGCAATGAAATCGCGATTTTATCGACGGTGCTTTGTTGCAATATTTACGAACAAAAAAACGTGATGAATTGAGATAAAATGTCGATTTTATTAAATGCGATTTTATGTAGATAAAATCGAGACAAGATTAAGGATAAGTGCTTTTATGTTGATGATCCTAGCGATTTCATCGCCAAAAAATCGTAAAAAATGGCAACTTAGTTTCTAAAAATCACGATTTTTATGTTGCAAAATGCTACTTGGGCCACTTTTCCCCGCACATAAATTTTTTGAAAAAATTAATAGTTTTGGCAAATAACCTGTTTTACTAATCGTTTCCCATTACTGCTACTACATTACAGCTAGCCAAAGGCATTTGAATGTTATAATCTGTAACTTACCTCATTTGGACCACGTTTAACAGAAAAAACCAAGCCATATCAGCTATTGCCAAATTTAACTGGGCAATTTAATTTTTTACGAGAGAACGTTCGTGCGGACTCCTTTGAAAATTTTAAGGAATTTGCTTCGCACCCTGGAGAAAATTCTCTGGAATTTGCACGAAAATCCGCACAACCGTTTTCATGTGAAAAATTGAAAAACCCAATTAAATTTGTCAATAGCTGATGTGGCTTGGTTCCTTTCTGTTTAATGCGGTCCATTTGTCTATTGCAATCACCCACATCCAAATGGACTACATTTTGCAATTTGGAGCTATAAATTCTGGCTCATCTGAAAAAAACACTTATGTGCATAGGGATACTAATGGCACATGCATTTTTTTTAAACCGGGCCAGAATTTATAGTTCCAAATTGCAAAATGCAGTCCAATTGACCCTCATATGAGCGATTGACGTGGTGCAAATTTATAGCAATGTCAATTTGTTGCAGCGCAATCGCGGCAAGACTCGACGTACGATCTGACGTCGACGTCAAACAAGTCGGTGATCCGCGGCGTGGACGCCGACTGCATCGTGGTGGCCACCGTGACGCACGCCGGGGCCCGTCTCACCCTCAACGACCTCGGAGTCTCGCTGACCATCCCTGAGGGCGCCCTCGCCAGGGGCCAGAAAGAAGAGATTTTCCTCTGCGTTCTCAAGGACGACAAGCACAGACCCAAGCTGGCAGGTTAGTATTAGCCTCATTGCGTTTAATCCATGGTGTCTAGTTTTTAAAAACCGGGAAACACCGGGATTCATCAGGGAATGAAAATTTACCTGGAAAATCAGGGAAAAATCAGGGAATCTGTTCCAGAAACCGTTAATCTCTTCTCCAACCACCTAAGGTTAATTTCGTTTTCAAATTTGGCGATCTAATCTGACGTGCGCCAAAGAAATGGCTGTAAGATTAATTTAAATCGATATTCACATCTAAAACTCTGGAAAATTTTATTTTTTTTCCTAAGAAAATCCCGGGGAAGTGGGAGAAAACTTCGGTTTCTCATCAGGGAATGAGCTCCTGAAAATCAGGGAAAAATCAGGGAATGAGCTTTGCCAAGAAAACTAGACACCATGGTTTAATCACTTTAATCGTGCACCTTACTGCCGTGCGAAGGCAACAATCGCGAGTTACCAACTTTTCTTCGATAAAATGTTTATTTTTGAAGAAAATTAAGAATATTTTTCCTTGGGATTTTCAGACTTTTTAGACCAAATTACGAACAAAATAACCTGAGAAATTGGCAAAAAAAATTTCAAACATTTTCCTGAAAATTAGTGATTTGCAAGAGGAAATTTGGCAACGCATGAAGTTTGCCAAAGTTCCTTTAATGAAACGCAACTTTCTCGGTAAACTTATGAATATTTTACCTACTTCTAATTTTCCCGATAATTCTGTTCGCAATTTCACCTAAGTGCCCGAAAATTTAAAGGAAAAATATTCATAACTTCCCTCAAAAATGAACATTTCATCGTGGGAAATTTGGCAACTCTCGAATGTTCATACGGTTGACTACGGTTCAAGCTCAATGTTGTGATGATTTCAATTCGCTGACGCCGTGCATTCGAATTGTTTCGGGTTGAAAAAGGCACGCCCGCTCGCGCACACTATGCACAGCGCCTTCGACATCCTGGGAATACTTCCATCGCTACACCGTCACGCAGTGGTGCTCACTCCGGCAGGCGCAGTATAGGCAATTTGCGCATCGGGACGTATATGTAACGGTGTAGCGTTGGAAGTATTTCTACGGTGTCGAAGGCGCTGTGTATTGTGTGCGCGGACGGGCGCGCCTTTCTTGACCCGCAATAATTCGAATACGCGGCGGCGGCGAATCCACACAGTCCAATACCACAGTCCACCTACGATCTACGGATCGGGCGGTCGAGGGCACTCTGTACGCCTAGTGAAAGCTTTCAGACGAGAATTATTTTTCTTTTAATATTTACTCGGTTAAACTCACAAGCTGGATGCTTGGAGGAGGAATATGATCTCGATCTGTTCATAATTTTCCCTCCAAGTACTTCATTCCTGTGCACGCTTGGAAACACTGACAGGGATGCTAAAACCTACGTATTTCACTGCGATTTTCCAGGAACAACGCAATTTTAATGCTAGTACGATTTCTTTTTTTGTGCATGTGTGTGGCCTTTCTATTTTTTCACGCGAGCATGGTCTCGCACTCGGTAAGTTTTTACACCCGCGTAGCGATGAAGATTGAGGGGCGGTCTGGCCCCCATATATCCTTCTGACCCTATCCGGGNGGGGGGGGGGGGAGGGGGGGCATTATGAATGAATTCAAAGGTTGCCCTAGTGCAAAGTTTCATTAGAAATTTGGTGAGTTTTGTAGCTGTGTAGCTCAAAAATTAGTTGGTTCCAGCAGTTCTTCATTATGAAAAATACTAATTATAATAAAAACAAATATTTTTGTCAGAAGAAAGAATCCCACAGTTACGGCCACCCAACTCAGAGTGCCGGGCAGGGTCGAATCACTCGGGAGGCCAATTTATTGGCCTTGGCTGCATGATCCTGAGCCTCTTTTCCCTAGAGCCAAAGTTTGCAATGCTTGCCTTTATTCTTTAGTGACTAACTATTTTTTGTTCTTAGATCGGCAAACGCAGCTAAGTCCTGTTGTTATGTGTGGCCCAGCAGACCTTGTATTCAAGAAGCCCGTAGTTTTAAATGTTCACCACTGCGCAAGTTTGAAACATGGCCCTTGGGCGGTTACCTTGCTCTCGAGCAACTCACCACAAGATACCTCGTCTTCATCCATTTGGCAGGTATGTTCATGATTGTCAAATCATCAGATTTACTCTGAATTTTGAAGTTGACTTTAAAAATGTGAAGAAAATTTCAATTGTCGAAAGTATATTCGAAAATTCAAAGTATAGAGGATGGAGCATCACATGTTTTATTTTAGTGAAAAAACGTCCATTGTCCTATATTGAGTTCCATAATTGCAGTGGTTTCTTTTGCCCCACAGCACTATCAATTATTGATAAAGCTTAGGGATGTGCCACAAGTCACTGCCAATTTGTGTTACTTACATCTTGAACAAGATACAATTTCCTTTGGAGAAAAGGGTCAGTGGTATCACGATGTAGATTCGGAACCATAAGAATAAGTGCTCACAACACAGCGTATCAGTACTCTCTACTCGCCTTTCTCTAATGCAACTTATCTGTAACCACAAATTCAATTCATAGTACTATTTATTTATTGGTCTTATCTTTTTGTCATTACAGAAAGTTGTAGCCATTGGAGAGGAAACTATCAACACACCTGTATTTATACAGATAGATGCAAATCAAGCTTTTCTCATCACAGACCACTTGTCAAGGTTTGTTCTGGTGGGAGAAGCAATTAGTCCATTGAGTCCACCGGTAAAATTGTTACGTTTAGCTGTTTTTGCGCCTTCTCCTGCAGTATCTTCACCACCTATGGACTACAGTATACGAGTTTACACTTTAGAAGATACTCTTGCAGCTCTTGAGGTAATTATCATCCAGCATGGTTTTCAAAATAAAAGGTGAATGTCGATAAAATCTGGAGTCAGCTCTTAAAGCCCTCCTCCCCATTAAAATTTGTGCCAACGCCATGATTTTTTTGTAAACTTTTCCTTGTCTTGAAAAAAGCCTTTGGCTTCAGCTGAAGCTCCTGAGCAGCTGTTTTACTTGCAAAAGTCCCTGACTTTTCCAAGTCGGCATGTATTCCCTGACTTTCCAGGTTTTCCTTACTGCTAGAAACCCTGCTAGTAATCATGAGCTTGAGAAAGAACCTTGCACAGGTATCAGTGGAGCTGACCAAGGCATCGGACTTCTAGTAGCATTATCGAAAAATGAGTTTTCTTTCCCAGAGGTGATGGACAACCTGTCTCTAACATGAAAATGTAAGGGTAGTGATCAAATATGGTATGAAGGTGCATTAATGACTTAAAAGATGGAGATTTGAATAAACGAAGGGACATAAATGTGATAGTTGATGATAAGGTACAAAATATAGACAGGAACTCAACAATAATTTGGCAATCTTTGATATCGTTTTAATGAAGATTTCCTTTGTCCATTACAGGGAGTGGTACGACTAGAACGTAAACTAGGAGGATGCCTCCTGGATAAACCAAAATCCTTAGTTTTTCAAGATGGGGGTGCTAGTTTATGCCTGAGTTTAGAAGACATAGGTCCAGGATGGCGAAGTAAACCACAAGCGGAGTACCAAGAAATTCCTTTCCACCATGTCTGGAACTGCACGCAAACGAACCTCCACTGCTCTTTCACACTCGAGTGCACGGATAGGATGGCCACCTCTGTGTCTTTCCGAGTTATTGCCAGTCAAAAAGGCTCGCAAGTTCACAAGCAAATGTTCCGTGTCAGCCTAGAGTTCAGGAATGACTCCTCCGCCTCTTCTGTTGTAAGTGAAGCTTTTATATCTACCTCTTATATTGTTAGAAAAGTGAAAGAAAATCAAGACCTACAACCAAAAATTAAAATAGGATAAAAAAATTTAAAATAAAACTCTCAGTTGAAGGGTGTTACTCTCAAAGTTTGATTTTACATTTTAGGCCTATAAAATTCCAAGTAAGAGTACCTTGTGCCCTGAAAATACCACACTGAAAAAAAAATATTGCTGAAATTGCCGTGCACGCGGGTATTTCATGGTATGGTGTAGCTAAAAAACGAACGTGCAAACCATGCAGGTAAAATCGCTACACAAATTTCAGCTAACTTACACACACGCGTGTAAGTGATTTTGCTCTCTGAAAAGCTACGTCTGTTACCTTTTTAGTTATTCTTCCGGAAATTTCGCTATTTTTCCGTAAATTCCGCTATTTCAGCCTAACTATTGAGCTATTTTTACTGTTCGCAAAATACCAATACCAAAAAATGCAGTTACATTTCCAAGCCACTCGATGCAAGATTAACTGCATGAACTCGCGCAGATGTAGCAAATCGGTGTAGCAATTCGTGCTAGTCATTCACTTGATTCAACACCGCGCACGGATAAGAAAGCTTTACGAAGTGAAGCAAATTTTGCTCCACCCTAATTCGGTGAATTAGCAATCCTTTTTTTTCAGTGCATGATATTTAAAACAGATAACTGAAATATTCGACATTGAAAGCTATTGTTTTACCTATGGTTTTAAATAGAATATGTCATACTTCTTAGAACTGTTTGGAGAAATGAAATCTTGAGGCTCTGCAGTTTTAAATTAGTGAGCCCCTATCGTTAAAAATGGATCCTAATCCCAGAGTATTGTAATGAATCATTTTCCAATGTGAGGTTCCTGTATGGTAACTTCGGTTTTCTAAAACTAACCTTGTGCTTTTATTTTCAGGTTTCTAGTAGTCCAATTGTGAACCGACCTAGCCGAACGGTAACCTCTAGTAGCGGTTGTGGGTCCAGTGTCACCACCTGTGATATGCAACCTTTTAGGTACATCACTATATCTTACTAAAAAGAATGCAAAAGACTTTTTGCCTTAAAGCAGAAAATTATTGACTTGAAATTAAAATAGCATAAATTTAGTTAAAACCTGGATGTTGAATTTAAAATAATAAAATGTTAAATGAAAAATGACTCAAGATAATTCTGAATAAGACAAAGTATTGAGAAACTTTTCAGGATAGTATCTGATTGGTAAAATCTGAGAGAAAGGAGAGAGAGGGGAAGTTACCCTCTGATTAGAAATAATGCAAGATACAGAGTGAAAACTCTTGCTCTTGTCTTTTAATTCAGGTTTGGTTATTACATCGAACATCTGACTGTCAAGAATTATTGTAGCTGTTCATCCCATTTTAGTTGTGCGTAAAATTGATTCATGAGACAAGGAAATTAAATGGAAGAAGAGTAATAATGCCACACAGAAAGTATCGTAATAACAAAAATTATTGCGGATTGATTGATAGACTAGACAGAACCTTCTAATCAAACTTCGAAGCTATCCCAGAGTGACCTTAAAATTTCAAATGAAATCACACACTTAAGACTACAGAAAGCTTTATTTTCTTTTTTTCTGCTTTCCGTACCTCTAATTTTTTGAATTTGATACACTGTTTTAGGTTCAGTCGATCGCTGCGAAAACAACTGTGCCAGTGCCTTGACCCGCCAAACTCAAGATCGAATGATTGGCGAATGTTAGCTCAAAAATTGAATGTGGACAGGTATGTAGTTTTGTCGTGTTTGTTCATGTGAGCAAGGGGTCATAAGTTTCCTCCTCTATATCATATTATGGAGCACTCAAGAGTATAAAAGATGAAACTGCAGGGATCCTGCATCAATATTTAAGCATCTGAGCTTAGATATTTAAATTAAAAGCTGCAACTTACTAACTGCTCGAGGGTAGAGTGCTCTTCTAGAATTATTAATTTGTAATTTTTTTTTTCAAGCTTTTATGACGAGAAAAGATGAAAAAAGATAATTTAGATGCAAGAATAAGCTAGTTTTACTTGATGAGATTTGAAGGTAAGTGTAATGAAAGAAGTTTGTGAGAACAGCTTCAAGAGTAAAATACCTACTCAAAGATTTAAAAAATATGTGATGTATACAGAACTTCAACTGCAAATATTTTTAGTGGAATATATTCAAAATACAAATTTCTTTTGAATATTACTTGTTTCAAACCTGACAGAATGAAGATAGCTGTGAAATACTGAATGAAAGAGATACTCATGTTTCTAACTTTTAAGAAACGGTTGCCTTGTCATTTCCTTAATCTTCTTTGAATTTTTCAGGTATATCAATTATTTTGCTACAAAACCAAGTCCGACAGAGCATATTTTAGACTTGTGGGAAGCAAGACATCGTGAGCCAAGTGCAGTGACCGACCTCCTGAATATCTTCCGCATAATGGGTCGCAACGATGCTGCCAGTCATTTGGAGAGGGAGTTGGGTCCTTGGCTTTAATTTAGCCATGTTTCATGCATAAGTTGTTTAAAAAGGATAACTTCAGACTATTGTGGTTTTTCAATAACTCTGAAGGCTAGTTTCTTGTTAAAACTTTGACCTTTTTTATTCAGTTTCAAATTTTCTTTGCTACGTAATAGTTGTTAAGTCTGCTTCAATGAGAGATTGCCATAATAAATGAGGGCATGGAAATCTAATCCTTTTATCTGTTTCTTTTTTGAGATGTGTTCAATTTCAAGAGAATTTTTTTAATTTGACCTCTTGAAGAAGATGAGAAATGGAATTCACTACAATTTTTGCACAGTTGAATCAAACAAGTCTGAACGACTCAACCATTTACAAATTCTTCAGACCAATCAACATTTTATAATTTTATTTTGATGTAGATTTTTCGAAAGTGATCATGTACTTTCGGCTTTTTTGAGCGCTTTAAATTTGTGCTTGCTGATGAGACAGAGCTCCTGCTCTGTTAGGAAACAGTATACTACTCCCTTAATTTACTTGCTCGGTTGTCGATTTCTATCTATTTGTCGTAAGGCTTGGACTTGACGAGTGAAATATATATCTTTGCTCTTAATAAACCAAAGAACGATATCTCTGTGGAACAAAACTATACTGAGAGAATTTGTTATTGCCAAAGGCAATGATAGAATTAAATTACATCAATTTTTGCCTTTCCGCATATTATAAATAAATTCATGCTTAAGTGCTCCAGAAGGTTAGTTGACTCAATGTTATATCATTTGAGCCCTTAACCAGTCAAACATTTCCTTTGAGCTTTCCTCAGCATTCCACTTGTAAAAGTTGCATCAGCCCTGGAATGATCTCAAACTAACATATTCAGAAGGCAGATTTCATCATTGCTCATCACTTGTTAAAATAAAAAAAATAGGAAATTATCAATTCAGCCATCACATTATTACCAATACTGATTCTACCAACTTGATGATTTCTGCAAAAGGACAAATTTACACTATCGCAATCTGCTTTATTCATCGAACTTTTAGGAAGCACTTTCAAGATGTATACAACAATTTAGTTGTTGAGAATTAGTGAACAATGCCTGGAAGCAAACATTTGAAAATCAAAATACTCATTGAAGATAGATTTGCACTAAAATTATAATGTCAAACAATAAATATATTTTTTTGTATAAAATGTTTTGTAAATTTTTTAGTTTGTTATCTATTCTGAGCTTTTGTTTTTGTAGATTGAATTTATACATAGCGTTTATGTTTTGTACATACATTTGTGTATAGTCGAGAGAGTTAAACAATGATTAGACAAAAAGTCGAGAGAAAAATATATTGATGTATTTTGGGGCTGCGGTTTATTCCTAAAGCAACGTGTCCTCTTGAATTTTAAAATTTGCGTTACGAATTTATTTTGGTTTAGTTTGTGGCAACGGTGCTTCAATTTTGTTCTTTTTTAATACTTTGTTAAAACAATCAATGAAGAAGTTTGTTACTCGTAGTGTTTTAAACTGGCTCTCTTTCATTTTTTATGTTTATTTACCTATTCATTTGTACTCTGAAAATGATGGTGGAGCATTGTACAACAATGTAACAGATCATGACCAGAGCATGGAAAATTAGTGGGTGTTTTGTAGATTGTAGATCTGATTTTACTTACATTTTAGGCTTGAAAAGTTGTGTTTTAGAAACTGAGTGACCCAGAGTTAGCATAAAATTTTTTGAATCTCCTACCAATCATCTTGATTGAAAAGACCATTGTTGGTCTATATCTCTGCGTTCACTGACAATCTTATTCGTTTAATTTCTGAATGTTGTCCACTTTATAGTTAAAACGGATTTTCTTTCTTTTGCTAAATTATTTATGGAAATTCACATGTTATGTTAATTGAAGATTTCATTGCCTTATTCCTAATTTTAATTTCCTTGCAGTGATCCCACCCCTATCGTGACATTGGGTAAAGTTTCAGTACATAAATACTTTAATAACAAATTAGTCTCTCTTTCCTACACACTGCCGTTTTAGAGACAAATTCGGTCTCTTTATTTACCGAAGCTTCATGAATTAAATATGTGATCAATGATGAGTCAGAGCTGTCTTTACTACACTATTTCATTCATTAATTGTGTTTTCTCTTTGGTTTGAAAGTAATTTTTACAGTCATAAAACTTTGGCATTGGTCTTCAGTAACTTTAGCTGGACTTCATCTTTTCAACAATTATGTGTATTAAGCGAATAGCCAATGGATTTTTTTTCTATTTAAAACGTCAACCACCAAAGCTATTTGGTCTCTTTCTAAGTATTTTTTAGTGAACCACTCTTGCTCTATCCTGATTTCTACATTTTTTGCCGGTTTCCTGCATGTGTCAACTTGCCTCTTCTTTCGTCAGTTTCAATAAGCCTTATGGGACCAGTCACTGCAGGCCTTTACAAGCCGGCAAGGTAGTTAATCTAAATTGAGTATCAAAATTAAGACTTTTAATCTTCTTGTTTAGAAATTAATGAAAACTCAGTATGATTTGTGCTTCACACGATGTAATATGAAAAAATGTTTAAAAAAACAACATCACTTTCATTGTGAGGTACAGTAAGTGACATGTTAGGTTATTTTAAATTTATTATGTATTTTATCATGTCATCTACAACTCTACAACTTCTAAATCGGGCCACTTATCCTTTGTTCATTGTTTGTTTACATTTTTGTGATTTTTGAAGAATTTTGATCAAATTTTGATCATTCCTTTTGCTATTTGTAGAACTTTAATCTTATGAGTATGTACCACTACACTCATACATACTTACTCCGAAATATATAATAAGCCTCACAATAGGTAAAATTGAATGTTTCAAGATGAGGACCTTTTCAATTCCTCCTCCCCCCCCCCTTTTTCTTTCGCTGCACTTCCAGTGTAGAGTTTTATTCCTATTTGGACCACCACATAATTAGATTTACTCATAAATGAGTCAGAACTTTTGAATTTAAAGACATTTCCCATTTTCTCATTGTTTTTTTATGCATGTACTTTTATTAATAAACAAATTTAAAAATTAAAATTTTTACAATTTTTAAACATGTTTCGATTTTACCGAGATTTTCACCAGGATCAAATTGCAAAATCAATGTAAAGAGAGGAAAGTGAAATAAAAAGAAACTTGCTCGTGACCTCACTTACTTTAAGATCCAAATTTTTATTCTTATGATCATTATATCCAGCCACAATCATTGCTATCTAAAGAACAAGTGTGACAGCATTGCTTAGTTAAAATGAAGTGATCTAAAAAACTTTGTCCTTTACATAGGTATAGGATTAAAATTTAAGAAACCAATGATAGACATAACATGATACAAATCCAAAATGGATTCAATAAGAGGAAACTGTACCCTCATAATAAATGGTTAACTTCCAACTTCACAGCGTGGTATGATGGCTCATTTTTTTTCTCTTTTTTGTCAAATGCATGCAGCTTAGTGAGCTTAATCCGTTAACAAGACTGTTTCATCACTCCTTGTCTATTTCCATTTATTCTTTTTTTTTTTTATTCTTTTCGTTGAGCTGTTTTTCATTACTTTCATATACTCCCAAAATATGTTGTTTCATATTTTATCGGACACCTCTTAAAATCTCTAGGTCAGCCCCTCTGATATGGATCTGAACTGCATTTAAAAATGAAGTTATTGGCTGCTCTGATTTCTTCGGAAATGCATGACAGATGTCAATTTTTTTGTCACTGAGTTTAATCTAAGTTTCTGTAATTTGAGGTAAATAATTTTAAAAAAATGTAAAAATAAAAAAAAATTGCATTTCTACTCACTGTTTTTTTCTTTGTATTACTACCGAAACATTTTCTATAAATAAGTTCTGAAGTAGAACTTACTTATGATGATCATTTTTTCTCTGTGTAACCAAGTGACTGCTCCCTCATTTATTTATTACTTCGTAATAATGATCAGTGAACTGACAGAGATAAAAAATAAAAGGAGGTAGATAATCTATAATAAGCTCAAAGAAAAGAAAGCTATACGTGGATGCACATAGAAATCGTCTATTACTGCTCTGATGACTTTATAAAAAAATTAATGAATCAAATCATACTAGAAAGATTCTTTGCCAAGTGGGAGAAATGACAGTACTTGTGCTTTTAAGGTTCATTTAACAATGTAAAGAGCTGTATCTCTAAAACTTTCGTCTCTTTCTTCAAGAGACTTTTGACATATTTTGCTACATTCCATGGTATTGGAACATTCACTGCACTATCACAAATCGAAGTGCATGCGTGTCAAAATATTATGTTGAAATGTAACACAAAGCTACTCCTCCTTTTCCGTACCCTTTTTTCATAAAAATACTGATCAGCTGGCTCAATTTCTCTCTCGTATGTGACAAGCCATTAATTTGCAGAAAGGCAGAAAGGTGTCCTGGCAGATTTGCAAATGTGCAGTACGCTAACCAAGGATACATCCCCATACCTCATGTTCCAAAGAATGCCTCATGTTCATCAAAGGATGCACAAAAAATTATTTTAATTATTCACTTGACTTAACTTATCCTGGATAAACTTCTGGAGTAATAACCACTTCATATCGCCTGTGATCTCGGACAATTGTCATCTTTAATGTTGGGCTGGACTCTGAAAATTCATAAACACTGTTGGCGTTTTGAACTGGCTGACCATTGATGTGAGTGACAATATCGCCCGGCCTGAGTCCACTCCTATTAGAAAGAAGAAAAAAAGGACATTTTATGAAAGGAAAATCTGGAAAATAACTTAAACAAGCAGGGAAGTTCTAATATGTTCGTATTAGAGAAGCGCTCAGCTGTTTTCTATGAAGGCACGTTTTTAAGTTCCCCTAAGGAGATGAGCACCGTTGAGATGAAAGAACTCCCTCACTAAAATTTCAACAGTCACTTTAAAGAAAACTACACTACCACTAAAAAAATAATGTGTAGAAAACTGATTATCGTCCTCCATACTTTGACATCTGAAGTTTAAATAAAGGCATCACAGATCAATTTATTCTAAAGATGTCAGGCCCCTCTCCACCATCTTTTTCTTGAGCTGGTGCGCCATTTAAGCGCATTTTCACCAGTAAACTGGAATTCCCGAGCCAGATGGAAATCAAAAAGCATTTCCTATCAGTTGACCGCTTAAAATAAAGAGACTTACTTGGTTACTCGTTTTTACAATTATTAAAAATTGACAGGGACATAATAACATAATATTTCCAGAAGCCAACTGATTGCTCTTTTCAAATTTTGATAAGATTCAGATGACGGTTTCCATTTATCTAAAGGAAGGTATCATTTTAAACTGAAATTATTATTTAAACTTGAAGGAAAAGAAATATTGAAAAAAAAAAAAGATAATACTATCTTTTAATGAGGAAAAGAACATACGACCAAAAATAGATAGTCCCATTTTTCATTATAAATGATTGCATAGAATTTCTGATCAAAATTTTCAGGAATCATGTAGGTTTATCAGAGATGGACCTCTAAGGCTTTAGGCTTTAACACCACAAATTCAGATCCAATGACTGAATTTCTGATCTTAAGGAGCTCAGATGGATCTTATTTGGTGGAATGGAAAAATCTTAGATTCTCTGTGGAATTAGCTTTAGGAGACAAAATTTTCCTACTTATGAAAAGACATATCACAGTTTTGAAATCCTTTAAAAGATCACCCTTGAACCGAGGCAAAAAGCTCTACTAGTCTGCAGGTTCGCGCGATCGGCGAAAAATGCACATTTGATGAACTCTCACTAAAGGCTAAAAAACATTTGTTTTTGGCAGTTTCTCGGCTCAGGAGGCCTTGCCGAGTCTCAGGACCATGTGCAATCGATTCTACGCCTCGCACTGCATAATGCTTCGACTAGAATCTCAACATTTTTTTTTTCTCTTCCAAAAATATTGTGGATTCGTAGCAATTTTCCACAAAGCTCATCTGTTCATGCACTTTTCTCGTTATGCGCGGAGTGTTCAAAAACCTTTGTTTTTCTTAAGATTATATAAATTGCTTTCTTTAAAATATAAAAAAATAAAAAAAATTATTTCAAAGCAAACAGAGTTGTGTGGAAACTCTGTGCAACAAAGTGAGGCGCTATGGGAACATACCTGTGAGCTGGAGATCCTATAATGACTTTCCAAACTAAAATTCCAAATTCAATATCGTTTGGTATAGAATGTTTTCTATCTTTAAGCTCATGTAAAATGGACGGAGTTAGTGTTATCATTGTGATACCCATGTAACGCCGTGGAGGAACACTGTCAGTTTTTACATCTGTGGGAAAATGTTAAAAATGGAATTAGTAAAATTAACAAGGATGAAAAATAATTTGCTGAGAGATAATGCTGAAAAGTGAAAATCTTCATAGTAGATAATACATAATATTCAAAAGTAGATTTACTGAATGGAAAGAGAGATATAAGCTGTAAGCAAATTCTTCTTTCACAATCTAACACACTGTATTGCAGAATCATGCAAAAACCAAATTTTTCTTTAGACTGATCATTGCAAAACTGGAATTAGACCGCACTATAATTACTCTTGATTCATTATGCTTATTTTCTGTTAACGTGTTGTATAGAGAAGCTGAAAAAGGAGTTGTGGATGCAATTTTCAGCATCAAAAATTTTGTAGAAACAATTAAACCTCCCGTTCACAAGAAAAACCAGAGCCTACTTGAATCAAGTTGTGCACTACAAGAGCTTTGGCAGGCTTTTTAATACACAATGTTACTCCCCACCCTATGTTGTTTGAGGTGAAAATACATAATTTGAAATAGCTGAGCTGAGGCACTGAGATTGAGGTTGTCACATTTTAACACTAGAGAGACATTTTTGGTTATTTTCAGTGTGCGATTTAACTTTGGTAGATTATGGTTTTTTTGAGAGCGGGAAGTTTGAATTTATACATCAAAATATGGTTTATATCTTGGTTGGGAGTTGTCTTCAGTAATTTGTTGTACAAATCGTGTCCAAGATTAAGTTTTGAAGAGAACCTCCCGTCCACTGGTCCGCTGAAATGATGTTATACGAATAAGAGTATTTATAAAGGAGGGTAGATTGCGTTTTCTTTACAATAAAGTAAAATTATGACAAACCTTTTTTCCTCTCTGTAGCACGAGCAAGGAATTCTTTGGCGTAGTCAATAGGAATAGCAAATGAAATACCAGCTGTTACTTTCATAGCATTGATACCGATGGCTTCACCATCTAAATTTACCAGAGGACCTCCAGAGTTACCGAACTGAAAGTAATATCCAGTGTGAATTATTGGAGTTCATCAAAAAAATTCAATGGTCAGAGGTTTTCCTTTCAGATGAAACAGCAAAAAAAAAAAAAAATAATTCCAAAAAGCAAGTGAGGAAGAAAAATTCAGCTTTTGACATGCAATAATTGCTATAAAATTCTGGACGGTTACATTTTGTGAAATACTTCTGCAGCTCTGACACTGAGTCTTTGTTTGAGAAATCAATGGTGTTACTTGTTAGAGAGAAAGAAACTTTTGATCCTGAAGGGCAAAGAATCGAGCAAAATTTGATCCTAAAACAGTTGAACCTTAATAATTAGAACCTTGATCACTAACGATTGGCTCAAAAAGTTGATAAGAAAATGGCCATTCTCTTCCACTGAAAGCTAAAAATCTTGATTTGTCCATTAACTCAAAGAAGTTTTTGGCTCATTTTTACCTCATTAACTTGAAAAAATTGGCGAATTACCTTTGTACTTCCAAATATTCTTCCGCATCTCAAGGAGTTACCTTTGTACCTCGAAGGTAGCGGAGAATTACGTATTTAACTTAGATGATTGGGGCTTAATTTTTTCTTGATATTTTTTAATATTTTTCTATTATTTTCTTAATATGCCAATGTCCTATCCCACATCAGCCTCCGTGACCCGAATTTTTCATCTGCTGACCTCAATAACATAAAAGTTGAAGCCTCAGTAACTCAAATTTTCATCGCTTCTCATCAGCTTCGGCTGTCCAAGTTTCGACTGTACCTCCTAAAAACTAATATGCATTTGTTTCAACCATGGGTAACTTTTACTCTAATCACTTATGCCACAGAGAAGTGTTTATCATAAACTTCTATAATTGTTATTCAATGATAATGTCACCTCAATCAAGGTACAAACCGACTCATATATAAATCAGTGGTGTGGCCTGCTTTGCAATGTATCGAGTGATCCACCATTTAAACCTATGGAAAAGGATTGATAAACAGGGTGTTTGCGACGAACACCTTAATAATCGATTATTTACCATAGCTTTAAATGGGGAAATATCGATAATAGATTATTCACGCCTTGCCACTGATACAAATTAATCTCATGTTATTTTCCATGCAATTAAATATTTAATTAATCTTTAGATTTTAAATCAACATTCCTGTACTGCACTGCCACGGTTTAGAAAGGTGACTTTGAAATGCAGATGCAGATCTTTGGCAGCGAGTCCAATATTCTAGCTGGATGGTTGATCACAAACATTGAAGCAATGTTGGTACATGATAAGAACTGGTTTTTGGCGATTTTATACTTACTGTGATGGCTGCGTCAGTCTGGATGTAATCCATGTTCTTATTCTTTAACCCTAGTTCATCCCCAGAACGATTGACTGTGCTTATCACGCCAGTTGTAATAGTATTGGAGAGATTCAGGGGAGACCCAATTGCTACAACAAATTCACCAGGTCTCAAATTTGATGATGTTCCTAATTTCATGACAGGCAGTTTTTTCTGAAATAGATCCAGAGGTAATCAAAGTAATCATGCAGACATTATGACCAAATTTTGTAATGAGTTTCCACTTAAAATAATCAGGAATTCCAGAATAAGATCAAAAATTGAAACTATTATATTCTTGAAGTTCGAGCTACAGCAAAGTGGCTCTAGAAAAAAAAATGAATTGAATCAAGCTGAGCAATACATTTTGCAAAGGTTCTGAGCGGCTACGGCTAGTAACCGCTAGTACGGCTATCAATATTGATTTAATACAATGTGACTGTATTTTGCAATAAGTAGGTACATGACTAATATCTCTGACTCATCTTTAACAGAACCTATCTGCATAGGAAAAATACACATGGTTTGTGCAGTCGCAAAGATAAAAAATTGAGAGCTTTTTGAGGATGTATCAAGCAATTTTCAAGACCTTTTTCGCAATTTTTTTGCAAGAGTCCTCCCTATTGCGACTTTTAAAGATGAGAATTTCGTCAGTTTCCTTGTTTTTGTTCTTCAAACAGTTGAGTAATGCGAAAGTGCGGCATCGCTGCCACAGTCGTTGTGGGGGCTTTAAATCTGAGTCAGTGATTTTTGGTCCTCACAGAGGGTAGATCATGATTTGATCCATCCTACCTGACCATTTAACATCAAACGCTCTCTGATTTCTTTAAACAAGCATATTTTTCTGAGAAGTGAGGAAGAGTAAAATTAAAGCACTTTCCAAGCATCTTCCAAAAAATCAAGCACCACCGAGGCCTTGAAAAGAAAAAAAAATTTAGAATCTAGCACTTTCTGAGCTGTATGGTTAAATTAACAGAATGTAAATAATGAAAGGTATCTCTACAAAGAATTAGAGAAATATATATCCTTACCGAAGCATTAATTCTAATAGTGGCTAGGTCTGATCTCACATCTACAAGCTCAACAATGCCAGTAACACAGGAGCCATCATGCATTTTGACCTGAAAATGAAGCAAGATTTAAAACTCAAGTTTAAGTGCGAGAGTAACAGAATGTGTGATTCTATGCCCGGGCAGTGATTTCTGCTGATTTTTGGGAGGAAATAGTTATTGTCCTGAGAATTCCAGAAAATATATAACAAAGAACCAAGATTTTTGTTACATCCACACAGAGGTAGGTGCCTACATCAAAGGTTGTGGGAATAAACTACAGTTACATAAATTTAGGTTAATACCATTATGCCTTGAGTGAGGCGCTGAAACATAAAAAACCTTTATTTGCAGAAATCTTGCTTTTTGGTGTCCCAAATTTGGTGCCTGTGCGGCACCGTTAAATTCATCTCTCTACTTTTTTCCCTCATTCTGTACTTACCAAAAGGCAACCTTTATGGAATCTGGACCTTAAAAATTTGAAAATGCAAAACCCAATTGCCATCGAACCATAGCCTTCTACAGATTATATTAAATTAATAGATGAAAAGAAGATATTTAACAGTTATTAGCAATGGAGAAGGAGAGATAGAATAATATATATACTATCAGGAAATTTTTCATACTACCTATATAACATGAAAAATCTGTACTATTTTGAAATTAAAAGTAAGGTGATTCAATGGATGCTATATTTTGTGTCAGAGAGACATGCTATATATCGCATCGATTGCTTCCATTTTTTCGGCTACTCATCATTTTTGTCAAATTTTGAGATCGCGATTTTGTTGTCAGGAGACAAAAGAATTTACTTACCAATTTTGACAAACAAATGGAATGTAATAAAGGCGTGGTTTTTTTGGAGGAAAAAAATCGCATTTGCGTGCAGTTTTGATATCAGTATCAAATGCGATATTTTCCCTCTAAAAAACCTTGCCTATATTACCTACTATGAATTTGTTTGTCAAAATTAGCTTGTGAATTCTTTAGTCTCCTGACAACAAAATTGCGATCTCAAAATTTGACGAAAATGACGAGTAACTGAAATAATAGAACAAATCGATGCAATATATCGTATGTTGTTCTGACACAAAATATGGCATCCATCGAATTATCTTAAATAAGTACATTAGGTTTTACTGATAATAAAACTTTGATACTATAGGTAGTTTCTTGAAGACAAAATAAATGGGATGACTCACAATTACAGGCGTATTGGGTCTGTTCATTACAACGTGTGCGTTCGTCAAGATTAAGCCATCTTCATGAACAATGAATCCAGATCCATTTGAAAGTGTAGCCGGAGCTCCTGTGAAGTAATCACGGCGGCTGAAAAAAAAATCAAATCGAAACATATAATTAACACTGTGGTTTATACGTCATACCTAATTATGGAAGTCTAGCAGCAGCAAATATTTGCTACTTTCATGAGGCAAAATTGTAAATCTAGCTCCAATTCAGACTAATATAACTGAACAATCAATAAAACGCAATGTTCGATACGAAAATTGAATGCCGATTTCCACGTTCTGTGACGCGTAGCCAGGGGCACTATTTCAGAGTTTGTATGGCCGGGCCAAAAGTGTTGGGTTTCCCCCCTCCTTGCTTATCTTTTTTTCAGTGCAGCAGCGAGTTGCGACAGTCATGTGTTCGGGGGGAAATCATTGCTAACCTAACGCAGGTTCTTAGGCACTTTCAAAGGTTTTTCCACCTCCCTTCTTTTACTCATTGGTGCGGTAAGCAGTTTCACCTGGCCCAAGTCCATAATGCAGGAAAGAGCACACATCTGGCCTGCCCCCCCTTAGATGGCGTCCCTGTGTTAAGTTCAGCCTTGGTAGTAGTGATCACAATTTTCAAAATTAGGTGCTTATGTAGGCAGTATGTAAGGCAAAATGTATTCAACAACTGAAAAGGAATTTATTGTAGAAATTAAAACAGGATAATTAAGCTCATACTTACTGTGCATCTTTAATTTCAATCAGCACTACCGATGATGCAACATCCTCAACAACATCAGCAATAAAGTTAAATTTACTTCTAAAATTACCTTCTCCGCCATCTATCACTTTGGCAGCTTCAACTGAAGGGACGATTGAAATATTACTGTACTTATTCACGTAATGTAACAAACCCAGTCCACCAGATATTCCCAGTACACAGAGTAGGATTTTATTTCTTCTGTTACCAGCAGATGAGAATTCATTCGCCCTCTGCTCATGTTTGCAATGATTTCCAACACCACTTTTCAAACTTAATGCTCGAAGCAAAGGCACAGACAAATTATCTATAACACGAATTTGGAATTTTGAGAGTTTTAAAACACTTTTAATCGACATCGGCATCATGAGCACATTCTTTGCCGCTGAGGCATGCTGTGATAACTTGATAAGTGATAACGGAAAAACCACAAAATCAAAACAATAACAATACCGACTGCTACCACACCAGGGAACTTCGTGATTCGTGAGAGTGTAGTAGTGTACCCTGCGGTTGTTCACAGTTGTTTTATGAGCAAAACATAAAACTATGATTTGTTCTTTTTCTCTAATGCGTTTAATTCAAGAATTTAAGAGCTAAGTGTGTACCTTCTGATTCTGAACAAGTGAAATATAACAATTTTGGCCATTACTAAAGGGAAATATTCCAGAAAACTTAAGAGCTGGGAACTTTAACCATCCCCCTTCACCCATATATACGCTTGGCGGGTTGCATTCCTCTTTCCCCACACAGAGTGCTCCAAATTAAGTTTTGTTTTTGAGTGTGTGTGTCGCACTAGGTGGTTTTAAAATTTCAAAGGAAACAGCCATATCCGTAAATCCAAATTAAGTTGGAGATTTATAATTTTGGAGATATTCTATGGACAAAAAGGGCTAAAAGTCACCATACTCAACATTTTTTTGGGGGCTCCCAACAATTTTATTGAAGGGCAACTCCCCCCCCCCCTTTTAGTTGGGTCCCCTGAAGTCAATCTTAGGCAAGTTATGATATGCAATTCCTTTAGATTTCAATAAAATCATTTTAAAAATAAAACATTTGTGCAGATTTTTTTTTTCTCTCTCTCTAAGCTCAGTGTGTGAAATACCTTGCCCCCTCCATCCTTATGATTCTTTTCAAAATGATTGAACGACTCAAACCAAAGCAAAATTAAAAAATTTACATTGGATTTAATTCACTCAAGTCATAAAACTTCAGTAAAAAAGGGGGAGGGGGGTTGATTAGCTGTTTTTTTCTGGCTGTCCAGTTTCTGGGAAATGAAAAATAAAGTACACTCATTTTTTTTAGATTTTATTTTATTAAAGTCCAAATTGAAAAGGGGAAAAAGATGAGTTTACTTTTTTTAAACAAAAAAACCTCTTACTTATATCAAAAGAAATAAATATTGCGAGGATCAACAAGAAATAAATTGAGACAATCTTACAAAACATAAATACTTAAAAATCTAAAATTTCCTGGAACATTTTCTACAGATCATAATAATTACAAGCACTACAATACATTATACCTATGTGGCTTTGAAGGAGAGAAACATATGGGTGATCTTATCCTTCCTTCATATGTGTTTTTGTGACTTTAAGAGAGCAGAGAGAAAAATCCCTTCAAGGGAGGGCAAAACTTGTTGGTTGGACATTAAGTCTACTAACCCTTTTCTCAGCTTTTGCTAAGGAAGAACTGATCACGTCTTTTTAAAAAATTTGTAACAAATATATTTAAATTAACAAAAATAAATTAAAATAGAAAAAACTTAACTCTAAAAAATTTAAAATCAACAAATTCTGTTAAATTACAAAAAATGACACAAGTCTTTTCTGCGAAAGTCCTGCAAAGAAAGCACTAGTATTCGTTCCTAATTTTTATGTAGCATTTCCTGCATGAACTTTGGCTGCAAGATACATAGACCAATTTTATGCTGCTGGTCATGTGAATATCACATGACGTGCGGTCCATTGTGAGTAGCTGCTGTCTGCCTTATCAAACTCTATTTGTACCTATTGATCTTGGAATTTTGATTATTTTAAAGCCTTCCTCATTGAGTTTACATTCACACGTAAATCTTTCCAAATATCCTGATTACGGTAGATGTTCCAAATATTACTCAAATATTGGACGTCAAATTGTAGAGTAAGATTTGATGTAACCAAGCTTTTCTGTTTGATTTGCTGTGCAAAACCACTCTTCATTGTTGAATGAGATTTTTGCATTTACAGGCAGTCCTGATCTATTCTATTTTGTTTGATTTTCTTCTAGAAAAGATGAATCTTGTGAGTGACTTTAATGAGTCATTGTACCTGAGCACCGTCACAAAACTTTGTGAGAAAAACATTTTTGGGAAGAATCCTTCCAAAATCAGGAGTCTGCCCTACACATTACATGCTAGTTGTCTCTGAATTTTTTGTATCATCTGCCGATCTAAAAATTTTTGCCTGAGAAATACAAAAATTGAGGAAACGATACTCATCAGCAACATCCAGACTTCGAACTTCCAAAATTGTGCTTCTTTCAGCCATTTCTCATTCCCGCAACTGAAATTGAAAGGGGGAAAAAATTGTCAAACCAAAATGAAAACAATGCAGGCCTAACAGGATAAAGAACCAAGAAATTATAGTCTTACAACTAGTTGATGTTACAATTAGAGCAGCAAAAAATACTTCTTCACTACACTTCAATGGCTTACCTTTAAAAATAAAATAGCTCAAGTTCAGTTTCCTTTCAGAATTAGAAAGAATTCAGTGGAATCAATGTAACAACATTAAACATAGTCTAATTTCCTTTTTTTCTCTCTCTTCTTCTGGAGAGAAAAGTAATTATAAAATTCTGACTTGAAATTTTAAGAATATATTCTGTAAAAGCCATGAGAAATACACAGAAAATTTCAAGGGGATCTATTGGTATTGGCCATAGAAACGTAGTGTTTGGAAAAACATCACTATTTTTTCCTGCTCTATGACTGCTGCCACCAGAGTAGAATTCTGTTGTATGTTAAACTCATTAAAAATTTGGTACAATGGAAATTTAGCAATTTAGTAAGTGTACAAACTACATAAATAATTTTCTAAGTGAAGCCATCTATTAACTTGGAACTCTTCTATTGTCTTATTTTTACAACTTTGATATTCACCAGCTAAACTGAGGCATGAAAGTGATTGAAATCCATGAATGACCCGTCCATGCGACATTTTGCAGGAAATTTCAGAATCACTTTCCTTTAGGTAGAGGAGCAAGGCTCACTATGCAATCCTTGTTTGCTTTTCAATATTTATCAAATGAATGCACTATCATTCCCAATTGATAATCACAATAAAATCTGGTCTTAAAGTACCTATTAAGATAAAGATGCTTGAGAAAAATGTGTGAATGTAAAGTTTCTAGATTGTCTGGTGACACTGGCATCAATGAAAATTTCCAGCATCTCCTACTGTCTACAAACACGACTGCATTACTTAATTGAGATGGCATTACTTGCCAATTACGAATGATCAGGGCTCTAAATATCAGTTTTTTCAATGACTGATGTAATTTTAAGGAGAAAAAACCAAAGAGAACTAGATTACCTGCGGTAAACCTCGTGCTTGGATACAAGGCATTTGACAACTTCCCTGTAGAGAGTCTGATCACATGCTGGAACACTATGGCTCCTCATTTCAAAATCTAGACAGGAAAAATAAAAATTAATAGAGAAAAATTGAACATTTTGATATATTTTTCATTTGTTCCGGCCAAAATTAGGCCATAGGTTTGGCTGGTTTTCATATAGATGTGCTGCTTTCTCTTATGGAATAGTTATGATGGAATAAAGGTTTTTAACAGAACATGACTTCAATTTTAATTCAACAATTCAATTGACTAGACCACATTTTGCAATAAGGAACGCTTATTTCTGACTCTTCCTCCAAAAAAGGTAAGTACGTGCCATTAGTTTCGCAATGCAGTCAGGTGCTTTCATGGATGAGTCAGACATGGTAATTCTTAATTGCAAAATGTCAAATTGATACTTGAAAAAACTTCTGCTTTACTAGAGGCATATTAAAACATTACACCAAGGACAGAAAATTCTTCAGTACAGATTTAGCTGGTTTCTTAAATTTGATTAATTTCATGTTTAGGTGAAGACAAACAGGTGAACTGAGGAGGAAGATAAGCACTGGAAACTCAGCTCATTGAGCACTCTTAGATGAAGCAATACATTTTTTGTATAAAAATTCTCCATTCACTTAGATGAGTGAATTATGTGGTTTTTCTTCTCCAATCAAACAGTAATAAAAAGTCAAGCTGGATTATCACATCATACCTGTGCAGGGCTTGCATGGCTCCACAATTTTATACTCTTCATTGCGCCAACAAAACTCAACTGGTGTAGATAAGTTTTTTTCAGGAAGTTCTGGTCCTATCTGGTGATTTGAGGTCCACTCGCTTTCATAAATTAGTGTCAGATACATGATCCTGGAAAGATTTAAACCAAAAATGATTATAAAGAGTAAAATCGACCGAGTCATGTTACTTGTATAGAGATTTTCTACGTTCTCGAATTTGATTCTCCTACTGAGATTCTCTCGTTTTAAGTAACATTGTCTAACATAATAATTCTTGCATAATGTTCTTCACTTAAGCAATGTACTATTATCTTGACAGCTGCCTTTCACAGAATTAAATGTAAAGACGTGAATACACTTTTTTTTTTACTTTTTTTTTTTTTTTTTTTTTTTTTGGACTTCAAATAGCCCTCAAGGGCTAATCCCATTCAGTTCCAACAACCGTCCCTAATTTCCCTAACCTACTTTACAATCCAAATTCCTTCCATCTATAACACTTGGGCAACAATTCTCCATCACCCCAATTTGTTTCTTGAAACTTTAACATTTCCCTAACTACCATTTTCTTAAAACCATAATCACACTAAATAAAAAAATTTGGAATGTTTGGCCTGTCTTCCCAAATTTTAGCATAATTTGATTGGAGGAATCCATTAAAAAATAATCTTTTGGACCAATTTAAATAGAAAATTGATTGGTTGTTGATGGTTAAAAATATTAGTTATGAAAGTAGTATTAGTGGTAGTTGTTATTTTGATTTTGCATTTTCCTCTAGGGTATTGCGTTCGGTAATAAATATCATTACTTTCATTACTACCTACAGATGACTTAGATGAAGCACCTGCATTGATTTCAAACAGGAGAAACAGCAAGCAAGATATTTTGATGAAATTACACAAATTGTACGTCTTACTGAGTAAATGGTCAAGAAGCTCCCGGATAGTGTTCTTCCATTCAAAGTCTCTGATTTATAAGATTTAATCACTTCCTTATAGTTCTGTTTTTCATACATTTTGACTTCTGATATGTTGTGAAAAAGTACTTGATAACTTATACTTCATGACATGTAATTTAAAAATCCAATTTTTGAGGCATGTTGTTCACAAGTTTAGCTACCGATATGTTATGGTATGATCGCAAGAACGCACATCACATATTGGTTTGCAAAGTTGCGGACATCTTGTCATAGTTAGTGTCTTAAAGGTAAAAACAACCAACAACATTCCTTGAAAACTTCCTGATTTCTTTCTCTCCATGTGAAGAATAAGTGATACATGACAATTTTGAGCAATAGCGTTGGTTTGTTCTCCATTGATAAGATCAAATGTGGGCGAAGATTTTAGGACGCTGCAAGTGCGACACCCGTTTGTGCAATTTCACTATTGTATTGCTCTCAAATGTAGTGCAAATATTTATTTATATTTATCATAGAAAGAGCTGAATCACACTCACCCTCCGAAGATCACGATTATGATGAGCATGTATTTGGATGAACATGATTCGATCATCACTTTGGTTCTTGCATTTTTCATCACAAGACATAGAGAAATTCAGATAATTTTCCAGGATATACAGAGATAGTGATAAGAGAAGATGGTGCACGGAAAACAATTTGAACGTACATAACACATAACAAAGCTGTTATTGCACGCAATTATTATTGCTGGGGTAAATTATTACCATACTTTCTACTGTGATGATTATTAGCAAGTGTCACCTCACGAAAGAGCGATGTATATATCGATTTTTTCTCATTATTAGCGTTGAGAGAGGTTATGTCGTCGCTCTTGTTTGTTTCTCCGTTTGGATCCAATTCGATAGTTAATGTTTACAAGTACAAGTTAGGTTATGTGTAAAAGTGTTGAATGAGTTGCCAGAATTAGTCTTGGGTAGAAGTGATAGAACTGATAGAAGAAGAGAGCTCCAAGCTTTCCCTCAACTACATACTACTTTACTAGTGTCTTCAATTAAAAGGAATAAAAATGGTGAGTCAATTTTGATGCTCTCTTAAATTTAGCTGCTTTTGCACGTCGGTCCAGTCAAGATAATACCGTTACGAGCCTTATCCCAACTTATTTTTGATCAGTCGTGGGGTATTCAACTAGAGTATGTAAGCTTTTTGATTCATGAAATTCATCATCATTGATACCTTTTCATCGTGTGGCAATAAACCTTTTATCCTCTGAATTGTCCTTTTGTATTACGTTGATTAATTAAGCATGGCCAGGAAGTAGTTCAGAACAAAAGAGGTACATCAATATCGACAGTGAAACTACCAAACCACGTATCTCGGTTTGCGACATCGCAGACTTCCTATCATACTTTATTTTTTAAATGGAAAACTACTTAACATCCAGTCTTGAAAATTTCTGTGATTTTTCCTCTTTGTGCGGAGAAAATTCCGTGAAAATTTCAAGGAATGATATTGATATGGTCTACTTCAAAACAATAAAATGTGAGCGTAGATTTTTAAACGCCGCAAACGAGATACGTGGTTTGGTAGTTTCACCGTCGATATGTTGTAAGCCACCGAATCGTGTATTGCTTGTGTAAAATTTGGTTTAAAGATCATCGTGTGTGTGAATAAAAGACAGCAGATAATGCAAGTAATCGCAATGTAAGCTTCCAAAATCGATTGAGAATTGACCGTGGCCTGATCTTGAGCTTAGTGAACGCTTGTCCCTAAAGGATGACTGCATTGCGATTACTTGTTACGACTTGCAAATGGACTGTAATCAAGGGCCTACCTAGCTGATGACAACTCTGAGGGAATTCAGCCACTCTCCTTCTCCTCGTAAATCGTATTACTTGGTTATACATTTCTTCCTATCGTATGTTCCAGAGTTTTGGTTTCCAAGATGTATCAAAGACTGAACCTGCAGGTTGCACTACTCACGCCAAGAAGATGACAGTTTTTGGAATACCTGATCCAATGACTGATGGGTATGTATTTTGCTTCTTTCTTTTTTAAAAACATGTACACCACCTATTTATTGCGCTTATGTAAACTTCGCAGTGTAGGTGGAGGAAAAAAAGTTTCAAGAGTCGCCAGACCTGAGTTTAACTTTAATGTTGCTTGTGTCACACTATCAACACACTTCCATCCAAGTGTCGAGGTCCGAATGTGCACGCATCAGCTTATTCTTCAAAAGTGTGCGGGCCGCACGCTTTTGAAGAGTTAATGAACTCTGATTGGTTCCTCTATTTCTTTGTCTCAGAAACGGACTTGCGCAGAGCGCTGACCTTGACGTTTTGATGAAACGCTTTGATAGTGTGACACAGGCATATGCAGCAACACTGGTCTCACACAATAGCGACCAGTCTGACAATGAGTTGGAAATTCTCAAAATTAAAAATCAGATTTTAAAAATGGAACTCCACTTGTATTTTAATTTTCTTGGAGTAGATTTTACAAAATTATGGATTTAAAGGCCATTAAAAATTAAACACTCGTGGGTTTGTTTTTGTTGTTTTTTCTCAAAAAATAATTTAAATTAAATAATGAGTAATGTGAAAAAACCTACATCCAGCTGTGGTGCAGACAACTGCGTTTAACTTCAGTACTTTGACTGAAGAATCCCCATCAAAAACTCATGGAACTTTTCCAAAAACAGTCTAAAAGTGCAGAAATGGGTTCTTTTTAAATATCCTCCCGGGCTCTAAGGAAGATATAAAATTTTCTTTGGGTACTTATCGAAGTATTACTTAGATACAATAATATCGATGAACTTCTTTTACCTGTAGGTATGAAAATGTTCATTTTGTCCTTTGGAAATAAGTTTAGATCCTTCACTCAAGGAAACATTAGACAAAATTTCTGCCCACAAAATTTAACTGTGGATTTTAGTGCCCTCTACTTTTTTAATGTATTGCTACTCAATACTTAAATGTTTACAGCCTCAATTCAGTTCGAGACAACATTGGATTCTGCCATCCATTGGAACAAACCGAAAAGAATGTGAGTATAGCTTACTCACCTCCTCCATAGCCTAGTCTTTTCATTTAACATTTCAAATATGATTACATCTCGATATTTGTAAAACTAAGCAGAATTTTGATAGTATAATTAGGTAGCCAAGTTTTTAGGCAGACTCAGTTGAACTCAGAAAAATTGAATCGCTTGTTTCAAAAAGTGCTCTACGCTAAAAAGGAAAAATTCCGGAAAATGAAAGAGTTTAGATTCAGTGGATGTTCAAGAATTAGAATTGGTCTTTTGGCGTTTGTTGAACAGTTCCCAATGGAGCACTGTAGCCAAAGATATGAAACTTTTTGGTCTTCTGTGGTGTGAAATGAACGTCCCTAAAACTTGATGTTGGGCGTTTATTTCATGAAAAAAAATCCTTGCCTATATCTTTTCAATCTAAAATGACAAAAATGAAAGATGCTTGTCATCCCTATAATCATTTTCCCTTAATAAAGAATTTTAATTTTTTTGAGCCTGCCAGTCTTCAAATCAAGATACCTGGTTATTGAATGGTTATAAGCTCAGTTGACTCATCTGTAACACAGTTTTTGACATTCTTTTTGAAAATTGATCTAAGAGAAGAGTTTTATCCTCTAGGTGAAATTTTTTGGTACAGAAATACTCTGATTCTTTCTGGTTTTCCACTACTTCAGAGCTATGTTTGGAAACTTGCTCTGCCCCTCCAATTCTTTTCCGATCAATATCCTTTATTTTACTAATTTTTTAAAAATCTTTCTCCAAACTAACTAATATTCTTTTCAGGAGTAAATTTAATTATTTATGTAGGTATGAATAATGCACGTAAGTATATTGTCATTGTTCGGCAAAAATGAGACATGCAATCGAAAACAAGTATTCCAAACACGGATCAATATTTGATAGGTATATCAATGAAATAGATTGATCTTTAAAGTATATTATTATTTTATGTAAATTAGTTGATCTTTGATTTAGCGATCGTATCGACTGATCTCTGTAATAACAGTCTTATCTAACCATCTTCTATGTATCAATCAGCGTGAAAACATCAGGGACTTTGAAATTTTCCCTGATAAAGGTATCTTTAAAGTCAGAAAGAAGCTGGTAACCAGGAAAAGTCTTCCATCCAAACATTGGTGCTTGATTTGACTCAAAGTAGATTCTGGTTTTTCTGTTAGCATGAAAGGTAAAGTAACGTAGACAAAAACTGTCATTCTCCTACTTATGAGTTCAATTTGAACATTTCAATCCGTTCATTGTATCTTAGGTAAAATTTTGATAGAGAATTAAATAATGTGTTTCTTAATTTTGTCCCCTGTTTAACAGTTGATTGAATTCAACATTTTTCTGTGTTGCAGTATGTTGCTAATCTGGACAATATGAACATGGCTATGCTTAAGAACACACAAGGCCTCCATGCACCACTGAGACTTGCCATGGAGCTGAAAGCATTCGAGAATGTTGGTCGTCTCCCATTCCTTCCCAGCTCCAACTTACACAGAGAAGTTCTTCGTGGAGAAGATGATCGCATTGATTTTACCGACATCCTTCACCCACCAGAAATGTCTGAAAGAATGGCTATGCCTCATGCAGTCATGGAACATAAACTGGGTATTCTGTAAGAGTGATTCCATCCTAGGTATTAAGTAATTTAAGGCAACATTTTATATTTCTGTAAATTTAATCTCCATACCTTGTTTTCTTTTCTTTTTTTATCAAACAATTATTAAATATTAATTTTCTCAACATATCAGCAGAATTTACTTCTATAGCATGTCTTTCAAGCGAATGACCCCTGGCTTCTCCAAGATAAGATCTCCAAAATCTGTTTTATAAATTGTGCTGAAATTAAGGTTCACAACCAAAACCACCAACTTTGTGTCCTTGCAAGGACCGAGAAAGGTTCATGCTTCCATCGAAAATTTTCAACTCAAGTCTTGTCTCATTCTCATTATAAGCTCTTATCTAAAGCTGAATTGGATGACCTCTGTTACCGGGTGAACCAGAAAACCTCCTATTTTCGTGACGCTTTTTTTCATGGCAATAAAAGTGAAAAGAAAAAGATTCAGATTACTTAGTATACAATCAAATGAGCTTTTCATTTATTTAAAATTTCACAATGGTCATAAACTGTTTTCAGCATAATATCAAAATAGCACAAAGCAAAAAATTGTTTTTGAAAGGAAACCAAATAGCAGGATAAAGGAAATCGGCTGATTAAACATCAAACTTTTTTGCACTACGAACACAAGTCTGATTCGTTTGCTTATAAATGCTACCACTCGTTTATGCCTACATAGTTGTTCTCGAGAGAGAGTTATAGTGCAGTGCTTCCCCTTCAACTTGAGTAAAAAAATACTTGTCCTCATCCTGCTGCTTTGTCTCTTTCGATTGCACGGGGGCCGCTTTTCGCATCTTCTGTGGGAGGTGTGACCGAAACTTGATCATGCGACTTGGTCTAACAGTAACTCGCTTTAACAGCCGTTTCATAGCCTTCAGAAGGGAGTCCAAGTCTAAAACTTTACGACGAGCCTCCAACGCTATGCGCCGTGCCTGTTCTGTTGCCTTTTGCTCCTGTTTGGTTGCATCACTCACAATTTTTGGTGGATATGAATCAAGCAGCATGCATTGACGCTGAATATGGTGCTCAATTGTTTGCATCATATTTAGCACTGACATACGCCAGTCAACCGGTCCGACACATGTTGTGTACACATCCTCAATGAACACCTGCAAATTAAAAATTAAACAGACCCTTAGAATAAGGCAGAAGAAGCAAGAATCCCCATGGACCAAAAAATTTGATGAGCAAACATGTATTAAGGGTGTTTAATTTCGTACTCTATCTAGTTCTATTATTAAGAACTCCAATGCTGACTTTCAGTGATTGAAATTTTAATTTCAAATTTGAATAATTTTCAATTATTTTTTTAGATTCTTTTTTAACCAAACTTAATTTACAACACTTGTAAAGGAAGTAATAGAGTTCAAGTTTATTCGCATTTTTTTGGCAAAGGAACACTTTGTCTTTTATTTGTAAACTTTTCATACGTTATTAGCTGTAGGGAAAGGACTTTTTACATTCTCTAACACAGAGTGTGATATAATTTGCCTTTGTTAGCTGATCGAAGAAACATCTATCACTTATTACGGAGAAATACCCAGAAATGTTAACCTCTTCAATTTTTTTAGTTTATTTTGCCTATGTTGAGTGTATTTGATGGCAAAGCATTGGTAACTGAAGAGAAGACTAGCTTCTCATCAATTCTACTAAACATAGGCACAACAAAGAGGACGACTAGTATAGCCGACCAATCACATAGCTCCATCCCTCCTCATCCTTGCTTTATCCAGTCAACAAATGCAAAATTTCAACAATTAGGCTGCAGATCAGTTCAATCTCATTTTATAGTTGACGCTGCAAAATTAAATCCGTCTTAATTTTTCATGTGGCAAGCAAACGCAGGGTAGCAGTTTGTTTGCTTAAGTTATAAGTGCCATTTTGATTTTTTTTCTTTTTTTTATCGTTCATCACAACACAAGGTATATTTCAAGCCATTATCACCTCAAAGTAAAAGATTACATTTCGATCTCTCCTCTTCGCTGATGGATTAAAGAATTAGAGTGAGACGATCTTTTACATCCGTGGTATAGTCCCTGTCCTTTTCTGCCGTGCTAAGGAAAAACAACGTATGAACCTTTAAACGTCAGATTTCTTTCAAGAAAAACCGAATTTACTGAGAAAACTGTGAATATTTATCCACAAACTTTTTGATCAATTTTGTTCACGATTTAATAAAAATATCTGAAAATTTCAAGGGACAATGTGCATAACTTTCCTCAAAAATACATGTTTCATTCAGGGGAAATTTGGGAACTCTCTAATGTTCATACAGCGTTTTTCCTTAGCACGGCAGTTTTGGTCTGTAACTTTTAGTGTATCACTCAGATATTCATACCTGGAGGCACAGAATTTCTTTAGAGGCAAGCAACCTGCGCAGCACTCCTTCAAGCAGTGTTTCAACTTTGCGTTTAAGCTTTTCCTTTCGTTGATGTTCCTCTTGCACTTCCTGCTCCAGAGCTGCAAGTCTGTTAGCAATATTCTGTGATTCTCTGGAGTAGTATTTGCTTGATATTTCTAGTCCTGTCTTCATGATCTGCTCTGGCTCTTGTAACTCTCGCAAGTGCAGCAATGAATTGAGGTTTTTCAACTCCAATTCATGGAAGATCTCCTTCGATTTAAAAACATCGCAATTGCTTAGTTAAAGAATTGCTGTTTGAGCCTTTCGGTTATCAGCATGACTGTACTATAATGATCACTAGATCTCCCTGATTCAGAAACTATCGAGGACTATCATCAATCACTCTTCTTCCCCTTTTTTGTTGCCATTTTGAAAAATGATCAACGGAAATCTTTGGGGTTTTCATAGGTTACTCAGCAAAATTTCAAGCACCAGGCAAGCATTTCCAGGCAAAATAAGGACTTTTTAGTTTTTAGGATTTAATACATCTATAAGTACTTACCTACTTTATATTGCCTTTTCGTAGTATTTTTAACTAAAAAGATTTTCTAAAGAATGCTGTTCTTTTTGTAATATTTTATTAAGTTTTCTTTTTGCTGAAATTTTGAAAAGTAAGGAAAAAGTTGGTTGCAAACTGTTTTCAATTGTTTTTGGAAGCAAGAAGTCCAATATCATTTTGGGAACAAAATCATGTTGATACAACCGGAAATCTCATGTAATTTGGCTGAGCAACTGTACAAAATAAAATTAGCTCTTAATCATAAAAATTCTAGAAGTCTCGATTTGATGCAATACATTAATTGATGAAGGTCAAATTAGCTGTTCAAAATTTTAAAACTGTGCAAGCAGAACATGTTTGAGCAGATATGAAACCATATCTGTAAGAATAGCGGATATCAAACATCCATAATTTTTGGGGATAATGCTTTTTTCGAATCTGCAAACCTTCAAGAGTTTTGGTACCAGGTTTCAGACTTGTGGCATAATTTTTCATTAGGATATGAATAAAAGACTGTGTCATATCTAAGAATAGCGGATGTCAGAATTCGTTGAAATAATAAATTTTGAGCTAAATAATTCGCTAAAGCTTAGTAATCTCTTTAAGGATCGTGTATACGAGCACATCACAATAGTAATAAAAGTTAAGTTAGTAAGTGGTAAATAGGTCTTTGGGAGATGGCACTCTTTCTTAATTTTTCCGCCTAGCCAACTAGGCGCTTCATTTCATGCCTAAAAAAATAGTTCTCCTTAAAAACAGCGGATGTAGTCATTTTTTAAAATCACCGTATCCCGTTGACATTTGCTTCACATTTCAAAAACTGAAGCTCATTTTTTAGAGGCTGATTCGTTTAGTTATAAATTATTTTACCGAATTCTATTTGTTGCACAGACATCGAAATGCACAGCTTTGAAAACTTTGAAAGCGATTTTTTCAAAACTTAAAAATGCAACATCTGCTGTTTTTACAGATAAGGCCTTATGGTGATCACTAGAGCCCACCTTTGGCTGAAAATGAAAAGATGGATTAAGTTGAAGGGTACCTTAATTTGCTCTGGCTTTTTGAAATACAAGATCGGTTTATTAATATCTTGAAAATCCCTCAGAAATAAAATCATGAGTTCTTCTAGACATTCGATGCTGCCATTCATTAGAAGGTCATATTTATCCACACCTGTCAGCATTTGACGTGATGGTGTGTCAAGAAATGGGTTTGTTGCTAGTGCATTATAGTGCTTGTCATTCTCTTTCCTCCACATAATTGGCGATATCTGAATTAGGAAATCCTGATACATTCGGAACTTTTTCCAGACATCCTCCAACTCAATCAGCAGCAATTTTATCCTATTTAATTCTGTCTTCAGGTGAGCAACTTCTTCATGTTTCTTCTCAGTTTCATTTGTTGCGATTACTGAAAGCCGCAACAGTTTCATGGACTCAGCATGCTTTGCTGCCATATGATTTTCTAATTTCCCTGCATATACTTGAAATTTTTTGGTGTAAGCATTTAGGATGCTTTTCTCTTCCAAAAAATTTTCTTTAATGAGTGTCGCCTCATCAAAGAGATAACCTGTGCAAACTTGTGTACTTAAAATTGAACGAATAATCTGCACATAACTTCTCACATCAACCTTGTTACGGGGGATTTTGTATTTGATGGACGCGAAGAACTCTGAGTCGACATCTTGAATCTCTTGGAGTTCCTTTTTAGTAATCATGTTTATAACATGGGTTCGAAGTGGCAAATCACGTGTTAAAGCTGAACGGTAAGTATCTTTGGCCCAGTAAGGCTGAGACCTGAATTTTTTGCGACTATCCTTTTGCAATTGGTTGTATGGCAAGAGCTTAGTGTTTTCAGAACAAAAGTCTTCTCTGTCAGGGTGTGTTTTCCTTTCTTTTGATTTGAGCGGTTTTCCTGGAACATTATCTATGCTAGGAAGTGTTCTCAGGTGCTTTCTTGGCGACATAATGCGCTTTTTGGCTCTTAATTTTTTCACAAGTTCGCGACATTCTGCTGATATCCGACTCTCCCCAAAGCGATCGACTAGTTTGACATCACTATCCATTACTGATCAAATTCAGATACTTAGAGCCCAACTTCACTAAAATTACTGATATTTTTTTTAAAATAGTGTCCACTACATTTTTTAAAGACTACGTTGTATAGTGGGGGTGTGGACCGGAGTCCAACTTCACACATTGAACATTAAATTGAATTATTTTAGTTTTAATGAAGCAAAAGAAGTTCGATTTTTCTGTTTGACTTCGAGATATTTAAAAATATACTGATTCATACATGTAAAAGGAGAGGAGGATCTTGCCTCACCAAGCTTTGCAACATGTGAGAACATGGCATAACAGTTGACAGTTGCCAAGGAGACGGCTTAGTGTTCAGACCAACATGATTCCTCTGTAGCATGCAACTGGGAAGTTTATAATTTTGAACTTGTTAGAATTAAAGTATGCCTAAGTAAAAAAGATCTTCAAAATAAAATCTGATGCTGCCTTTAAGTAACTACTGAAAAAATACGTTATTTTAGAAAAAGACAAGTGCTAAATTTGACCGTAGAGAAGATGTGGAAAAGCTGAAACCATCAAAGAGAATCGTTATCAATAATTCTTTTTTAATAACTTTAAATCCTTAAAAATAATAATAAATCAGCAATTCGTTAAAATATCTTTAATTTTTCACAAAATACAAAAAAATAACAGAGTTACTACTAATAGCGACACGATAGAACGGATTGCAAATTAGATTAAAACTGGTAATCACAACTCTTGATAAAATATTTATGCAATCTGTATCTACTGAATAAAAATAAAAAATTGACAATTATGTAGAATTATGTTAATAAAAAATGCATGAATAAATAACTACAAATATATCAACAAAACAACCAGTGATCGAGTGGATATTTTTTTTCTTCTCTTACAAAGCTTGCCTGAATGCTTTTTTGTACTATTCAGAACCTAGAAATACAAAGGTCCTTTAATGAGTAAGTTTACCTCTTTTTTTTTTTCTTTTTCAACCAGTAAATAAAAAAATAATATTTGTTTTGAATCAAACCCTCACTTTCCACTCAAGCAAACTACCTAATAACGGCTTTCAGGTTCCCTGAAAAAGTCAAATTCACTGGACTACCTATGAGGGGAATTTTCTTCCCAGATAGTCGTGATGTTTTTTGAGGCAAAATGTAAACCGTATTGCATTAAGACCAATTTATGAGGGGTGCACTGATGGCATACAAATATTTGGCACACACACATACAAAAACGCACAAAAAAAAAAAAAAAAGGCAGCTTTAAAATATTGATGATGTATGAATTATGCAAAACTCAAGGCTAGGAAAAAGTAGACAGCTAAATAAGTAAGGATGACCTGGATGCCATGAATGGACGGAAATATTTCACTATGAAAGACCCTGATGAATTCAACTTTTTCATTTTTATTTTTCTCTACCGTATACTAGCAAAATCTTGATTTGGGACTAATCCCACAAGAGAATCTATGACCTTTTAAGAAATTCTGATGTTTCCTTACTTTTAACTTAGAGGTTATAAATTAATCCTTGAAAGAGGATTTTGGACCACAAATTAATCAGCCACATGAAATCTCAATGCACAGGATGATAAACATAAACTTCAATTTTGATGAAAGATTAACGACTATTTACAGGTACATTTTACTTTTCTCATTAGAATGTTTGCTTGAAATTTCACAACAGAGGGGAAAATTAATCAAAAATCAAAGCACGACTTAATTGCTAGGGCTAAAAAATTAGACGAGTACGTATTAATGGAAGACCCTGGGATACATTATCAAAGAGATTTACTCACAATGAAGTTAAGGCATGGTTCTGTACGTGAGTTTACCTCATAAAGCTGCACATATTCATACTAACTAATACAGAATAACGGAAAACAAAATGTCAAGATTTCCTTGTCACCGTTGATTGGATCTTTCTCATTAAGGCTCATCTTAAAGAATAATTTCAAATCACAGAACACGTGAGCTTGGGTTTATAATAAATGTGATGTGTTGTTTAACATTCGAGACTGAATTCAAAAAATATGTAAAAATTCCAAATTTAATTTAAAAATTTTCTCTTTTCGAGATCAAGAGATATTGAATTGACCCACGATGAGAAAGAGAAGAACGTTTAGGATTAAAAAGACATTTTGCTGCTCTCCAATTATGAACTATTAGAGTTTGTTTAAAAAAAAAAACAGGAAGACATCGATTTGCAACATATTGATCTGAATAAATTTACATAAAAGAGCACCTAATAATGATTACACACTTTCAATCTTAAGACATTGCTGACTGGTTCATACCATCAAAAATGATAAAAATACATCATCATGAGAGTAAAATTGCAGGCGTACCTAAAAGGGACATTTTAATTTCTCTTGTAAATAAGGAATATAATTATTCATGAATGGCATTTGATTTGGGCGAACAAAGTATGATAAATAATACTGCTTTGGGGAAAAATACTGATAGACTCAGATCACAAAAAATGTAAAAATAGATACGAAAGCATGCATATTAAGAGAAGGGTGAACCGTATCTACCCACATACCATGAGCCCCCTGTATAATTGGCAATACAATGCCGAAAAAAGGATTCGTCGGGGGAAAAATGAGGGTTGAAAATCAGTAACACATGTTTTTTTTAAAAAAAAAAAACAATAGTAATGGAATATCAAAGCGTGTCACATGATTTCCACACAATTCAGTTGTTTATGAAGGCACTAAAGAAGATATCCCTCATTAATACTTAAATTTTTAGAGGGAAAAGTTATCATGGTACATGGGTTCAAATGGACTGCTTTTAACAGAAACACACTGAGACGCATTTCGGATAAAATGAGTGAAAAACGATGTAAATTTAACCAGTTGTAAATTTCTTCTGTCAAAAATTAAAAGCCAAGAAAAAATATTTTGAGGGTAAAAATGGCCACTAAGTTTTGTTATGAACATTGCATTTTATGGAAGAATAGAACTTTAAACCTCTCTCCCTCCATTTAAACTTGATGCGGCTTGATGCTTTTCTGTTAAATTCAGTCTAAATGGTAATTAATAATTTAGGAATGTTGATCCCACTTGCGAATGTGGAGGTGGACGGAATCATTTGAAGATTTGGGCACACTTGAGTATAAAGAAGCTAATACTGTTTATAAAAACTGGGTCCTTCTTTTGGAGAACTATTTGTTGACCATGCCGACTTTTTCTGTAAAAAATGAGAAAAAACATAAATTAAAATACTGATAAACAGAGAGGGCTGGCTGCATAAATAAAAAAAAAAAAAAATCTACCGTTAAAACAACGGAAACTTGAAAGTGGGAACGGTGGTCATCTTTCAAGACTCATCCGTCAAAAAAAAAGTCTGAGGGTAATTAATAGAGTTAAAACAGTCGGGCTGGCACCAGACCACCTTTGATTTGTTTCATATCTCATCTTGTATACAGGGTCTTTTCATTGTATAAGAGACAAATACAAAGGGGTTTCCATTTCAATGCTCAATTCCCTGGATATCAATCCATAAAGATTGAATCTTAACAATATTTGCAAGACCGACTCGGCCAGTTTTCACTTTCTAAATTTTCCTCCTTTTGACTTGATGTGATGGCAATCAATATCAATTTACGAATTCTTGAATAACTGTGTCTTATCCAATTTTTCATGCCAATTCGGAATATGCCATTGAAACTGAAGAAAAAAAAAATTTAAACGGCTCTAATTATACATTTTTAAAATTTACAATTTTTTAGCCTAACCCAATTTGAAAAAAACCACTTGTATTGCTTTTCGATTTTTAGGAAAAAGTTTATGTCCTCCACCCATTATTTTTATCTTTTCATGAGAAGCCAAGTGTTGTGAAAGAGAGAGCCCCTGGTAGTTCTTCAAAGTGTAAGTGGATACCATGTACATATACGTGAATATAAATGTGTTTTTCTGCAAACTTACGTCGGTAGAGACTCATGTACTGTCGTATGAGCCGAGCAATCTCATGTGCTTGATCTGTCTGGAGACGGGCAACTCGTTGCTGGAATAAGTTTCCGCACTTCAGCTCCAGATAAAGCGTCCCTGACTCGGCTCGTACTTTTCGTGTTGAAATGACCTCATTATACGGCACATTAGACAAAGTTTCCTACACAAGATAAAACGTAATTACATACAAGGCAATTAAAAAGAAAGAAAAAGAGAACATAGTAGTAACCTTCAATTATGATTTCACCTCGAAGCTGGGTCTACATAAGTGCTTTCTGTGGAAATCAAAACATCTGATATGCATCAAAACAAACAAAATTTTTGACCTTAAGAAGTGTAGCTCGACGATATTTACAGAAAATGAAATATTACAGTCTTCTGACAATGAAATCTGGACTAGTGCCTTTTAAGGGCGTTTAGGCACAGGCTGAAATTTGTTTCCTTCAAAAGTCTTCTAAGTAGTATTTTTTTATGCCCAAATGCACACTTTTAAACACCCTGCTTTGTGAGATTTCTTCAAATTCGAAGATAAACCCTACCCTGAGGAGGGTATACATTGAAACACATAAAAAATTCAGTCTGACAGCACTGGATTCACTGATCCATACCACAGGTTGCATAATCCTTTGCATACTTTGGCAATTGCAAGGAGTTAGAGGGCAGAGGAGAGAATTTTCAATTAAAATTGTTAGTTTTTCAAGAAAAATGCATCATTACGGACTGTATATAAATCCATTTCCAGGGCATTACAGCTAATTTTAATAAGGTAAACACTTGGAAACATACATGAGTGATAAGATGCAGGAAATGGACTCCATTCCGATTCAAAGCAAGAATCTGCTGGTCACCACCGCGTTTAATTGCAAAGAAACTGGATCCAAAAAGAGGCCACTTGCTCAGTAGTTCTGTAAAGAACAGAAAAAAATTAGATAATAAAACACTAAGTATGGTATGGTTTATGGTTCAAGCCAGTAAACACATTTTTGGTATTTTTGAGGCACTGTTTTCTTGGATTTTGGTACTGAGAGAATATTCGAAATTTTAGGGATTTAAACTTGTCAGAATTGAGAGGACCTTGAACATGTGCTGCAAGTAATAAAAAGCAAAAAACGGGAGAGAATGTTTTAATTTTGAATGCTGTAATGAAAGAAACAAAGTGGTATTACTGATAGACATGCTTTAGCGAGACGAGTATTAAGAACCTCAACGAACTTCCAGACTTGCCTTAATTCAGACAGTGAGATAGGAAGGGTAAAAACGCAATGGTGTTTCTCCTTCAAAAAGTACACTAAAAGATGAAAAATTGCAAATTCTTCTCTGGTTTGGAAGAGATCCTCATGATAAGGACGTTTTTATCTGGCTCAGAGTATGCCAACTTTTTTTGTCACGTAGGAAACCTGAAGAATTACCAGGCATCTTATGGTAAACTCACTTCTGCTGCAATAAAAATAGAAAGGTTTGAATTTTGACTTCTCTAAACTATTTCACTCATTTTTAAGTCTAGATTCTAATGAATTAGCCTCTTCAAACTGGTGGTGAACTGAAACTTATGCTTTTCTTACATGATGTGTACCACGTAGGCTCTTCATGCAGCTACAGTTTTTATTCAATTGTAGAGTTGGACAATTAATCGAAGATCGAAAACAAAGCCGATAGACAAAAGACCGTACTCCGTTTGTCAAAAATAAAAATAAAAAAAATAAGTCATTCCACAAGGAGGCAGAGGTGTTTACCTAAAAGTTGGGCTTTGGCTTGGATGCTGAGCAATGACTGTATCTGGCTCCAATTAGCTTGGACCATCTGAACCCATTGCGCAGGCTTGATGTCTCGTTGGGTTAAGGCTGGTTTTGGTAACAAAAATTTTGTCTCTTTCATTGTTGGAGGGTGGCTCATGTCAGCTGCTCGATGAAGTAATGCTGCCAACTTTGCAACATCGTACTGAGAAACAAAACAAAACAGTTATCAACCTCTCACAGACAGGTATGAACATTTGAGTTATCCCAAAAATTTTAGATTTCTTTTAAAGAATTAGCACTATATTTTTTCAGTGTTGCCAATGAGTTCTGCAATTTCCAAGAGCAGAAAATAAGTCGGTAAAAACCAAGGAGCTGTCTAGCATTATAGTGGAAAAAATAAAAATAACACAAAAAGAATTGACTGCTTTACCTTCCCTATTTTTTTCCTCTCTCAGCTAGATCTAAACAAACTGTGAGGATAAAATTAGATGAAGACCCTGATTAAATGGAGATTGATAGAAACAAAAGAAAGGAGCAGGCAGACTATTTAAATACTCACAATGATATCTTGTGGTAACTGCTCATTGGGGAGGACAAGCAAAAGACCTTCCAGATAATCAGGAGCGATTTGGTTAAAAAGGACTTGAACGTACAGTTGACAATCGAGTCTCAGTGGAAAATGCCATACGGAGCGGCAGAAGATCAGGTAAAACACCTGTAAAAATTGCAAATATAATTTATGAAAATCAAGATTAATAAAATACATATGTGAATGAGAAACAGCTTAAAAGAACATTCTACCAAAATTTAGCAAGACAGAGAAAAGCAAGGTTTGAATAGTAATGATAAAAGAAAGTGATGAAAATAGTGTACAGCAAACTGTCTCAGACTCGAAGACTCAACCAAGCCTCAACCCCTTGAGGAATGATCCTTGCTTTTGGTGAGTATAAAGGTACACAATCGTTTCCTGATTCCATAGGAAATTGTTTATTTTGAACACTGAAATAAGTCTATATATTTTTCAAGAGGGTCAGAACTCTGGACTGTGTCCGATCAAAAATCTAGCACCCAAACCTTGCTTTGACGATTCCATCTGGACCTTGGTCTACCCTTTATTTAAAAAGGCTCAAATCTCTGTTCTAAAACAAAACTATTTGGTGCTTTTTGCTCATTTCTAAGTGAAAAACCACACTGATTCACCTTCACCTTCAGAAAGTTAGTCATGTTACTTTTCTAAATTTAGAAATACTTTGAAATAATGAGATACTTTGATCATCATTTTCTCCAAATCTTACCTGCTGGTTTTTGTGCAACTCCGTTGTGACATCAAGAATGTACTCTTCCCGTGCCAGGGGCATGGTAAACGCATCCCCTTCCACAATGCAGTAAAGAGAGAACTCTTCCATCTCAAGAGGATTAGTAACATTGATTAAAGCGCACATCTCGATGATGACATCCTCAACAACTGTTGTCGATTTGGTGTTCACAACTGTTTCACTCCCACCAGGCAGCCGATACAACTGCCGTTTTGAGTTTCGTCCAGCACTCACTGCAGTCACTTCTTCCACGCTTGGTACATTCTTACGTCCACCATACCGCAGCGTTTTCCGCAGGTTCTGTAGGCATACGTTCGCTGTACCTGTCAGTCAAAAGAAAATTTTCGAGTTTACATCCATAAAATGACAGGAACATAAAAAGGCATTTGTACGGGATTATGTCTGCATTAAAAATACAGAAAGATGCTAAAAATCAAGACATTTCTCCTTAAATGCCGGCTAAATTTTGCCGAGATGACATAAAATGATGTTTGCAAACATTTGGACGGTCAATGTTGCTCTATTTTTTTATTAGATTTTTCTTGTTTAAAAACAATATATGTTAATAACCCAAAATCCAGTAGAAAAATTATTTTAAGAGGTTCAGTATTCCTTGCAGATAAAATATGTTGCGATAGCCTCCCTAAGAGCACCTCCCTCCTCCCCTAATTTTCTTTCTACTCCTAGTAGAAGAATCAGATTTAGGAGGCAGAGAGAGAAAAAAGTAAAATTACGTCAACTAACCGTGGAAAGCCCGACGTTTATCGTAGGCAGCTGACTCAAGGTACTTCAGTAGGAATGGTCGTAGAGTCTCAGAACAGGTAAAGTAGGCTGCAATAATACTTAAGAGCCGCCATCCACGCTGGCAACTGTCGCTTTTGTTATTTGTTGTCTGTTTCATCAGCTGACAATAGACTTCATCACGCAGTGCATCATATTTGTGGCAATGCATTAAAATCGTATACACACACTTAACTTCTGTCATTTCTGGTGTTGTAGGGAGATCACCCATGTATCTGAAAAAGTCAAAATAAGTGTTTATTGCAGGTTGCATTTATCACAAAAACATAGACAACAAAAAATACGAAGTTATCAGAGAAATACTGCTAGCCTCAACTCATATAAGCGTTTGACATTACTTTGAGGACTCAAGCACTAATAGTTAAAGCTCATTTTATACAAGATGTGTAGGTTTCTGCTTCCTCCATGTCATAGAAATATAAACTGAGGAAGATTTCAATGCCTTGGACCCGCTTCTTCGAGATCTTGGTTGCCAATTTTACAAATTCATGCCGAATTTTACTGGTTTTGACAAATGATGGCGTGAAAAATATGTAGACGCAATGAATACTCAATGAATGTAGACTCAACTGAAATACATCTTAATAACCATTCAACAAAAAAAACGGGGACAACAAAGAACAGAAAGTATGCCTTCAAAATGGCAGGCCTCTGATCTGCAAAGGACGACTAGTTATTATTGAGTATCTAGTAACATGTGTTCATGAGATTTGGGATTGTAGAGGTGATTTTGAAAAGAGGATAAAATTTTGATGCAACCTCTTACCCAAAATACAACGAGGAGCATAAATGGATTTACCTCATGGAACATTCAAAGCACTCCACCGCAAGTTGATTAAGTTCCGGATCCAACTTGAGCAATGATTCCTGGATGGGTGTTGGTGAGTATTTGACAAGGTCAACCTGTTCCTTCCAGGTCCAGTCAGACCCCTTTTTGTGGTTGACCAACTTCAGTGACCCATCAATTTCCCCGTTAGGTGTCTTCAGCATTTCAAACTTTTCAGGACTCTGTCGGAAGTGCAGGATAGCGAACTGAAGTAGAGAGTGCTTTCCATCATCTTGGACCGCCTATTTTGTAACAATTGAAAAGAAAATTGAAACTGAGATATTCAGATACATTTTGCATTTTAATTATTACTCTAGAATCTCCTTAAATCTAAAATAAAAGTATGTCACCCAATTACTCCTTGTTATTTCCACCTTTTGCGTGTGGCAAAATAAGACTTCACCATGCCAATATTTAGTGTTTCTTCTTAACCTCGCAAAAAAAATGCAAGAAGGAAAAAAGGTTTAGGGTATATTCTGCTATTCAACTATATCTAATCCATAGGTACCTCATCTTTTTTCATTTGTTGAGAGTAATTTTGATGAGACGCTCACCTGTTGCTGGGTGTTGGGAGAGGGTGTTGTAAGCCTAGCATCTGCAAGCCATCCTTTCTTCTCAACGGAGCGTAGGCGCTCTTCTCGAACACGGTTCTGAGGCATGGCCTCTCTCAGGAAAGCATTCACCATGGCTAAGATCTGCCGTGAGCGGTTGGAGTAAATGGGATACTTCTCACCTGATTGTAGACCAAGAATAATGGAGCTACCACCTTTCCCAACATTGATTTCAGTTATTTCATCAAGTGCAATTGAATGAACCACTTGGATTTGGTTATTGGTCTGTCGACCTAACCGAATGCCAGAGTGCGCAATTGCCAAGAGTGAAACCTGGAAAAAGAGACGGTTTTATATTAAAGACATGGCATTATCTTTAATGAGCAAGTGGTTAGTTTTAATTGCAGTATTGAAGGCATGGAGCAAAACAACAGCTCACACAGAAAATTAGCATGCCTTAAGGTACGTTTTATACCTTTCATTCAAGACCATCCTTGAATGTCTTGTTTCAAAACTTGGCCCTCTGTGAAAAAGGGGGAAAAAAAAAATACTAAACTCAGCCAAAAAATTTTCTGTGAGTGGAAAATTTTCTTCAAGCTTGTAACTCAGTTCCCAAAAAGAGCCCCTGACAAAAAATCTGAAAGTTTGTTTTCAGCCACATGAAAATGATTGAGACTCAACAGGAATTTTTTTATTATGATTACCTCAGGTAGTTGATAGCCTCCAGAAATGTAAAATATTCGGGCGAAATATGTAGCCCAATGTCTCGCCAAGTCAAGGACAGCTCGTTTTGTATTGGCTTTATGTTGGTTGGAATACATATTAGAAGGTGTCACGCCATATTGATCCAGCAATTGAACCATGTCCATACGTTCTTCAGAACTAATTCGGGCTATGGGTCGCACTAATACATCTTGGACAATCTGACAAAAGATGAGGTGGAGCACAAGAGGACTTGAAACTGATTCCTTTGGTGAGAATACCTGAAAAAATTTACAAAAGATGTGAGAAAAATATTCACAGGGTAGAGTTTCGATTATCCCCGCTTTGATTACCCCCAATTCGGATTGTTCACGCTCTCTTTTCGGTAACTTTTTTTTAAGTAACATAGTGAAAAAAAATGTTTGCGTAATCTACTCAGTACTAACTGTAACTAATTGCATACTAACTGTAAGAAAAAGCCTTTATTTCGTTCATAATTAGCCCAAAAAGGTAGCAAATCTATAGAGCAAACTTCTATGATAATTTTTTTCCACAGATGATACCTGCCAAAATAACTTCTATTATGGAAAAATGTATTAATTTTTAACTAATAACTATTTTTCTATCTAGGATTAGACAAAGGTCTTATGAGAGTCTTTTAAACAAGTAAGCTTCCTTTCCACTCTCATCTTAACTTAAAAGTTCTCAACGAAAGTAAGGCTCTACCTCTTTACGAATATTCAATTTCCAAGCAACGCGGTTGTACGTCAAATGTGTATTGGTGGAGAGTTGATGATGTTTGGTGGAAACTTGAGCTTCTGGTAAATGGTGAAACGAAGGTAAGGGATCTACAGCGCCTGGGAACTCTGAGAATTCCTCCATTTCGACATGGTCAGAATGGTGTGTTGAGGGAACCGGACTGAACATATTTTGGTCTGTGTAGTCTCGAGTGACTGGCTGGATTGGAGTCGGTGGCACAGGGTTACTGGTAACAAACGGAAAAAAAAAATTAAAAGACAATGATCACAGCACCTTAACTGGGCAACTACATAACATGCAGGTAGATCGATATTAGTACAACACTAATCGTCAAGTTTGCCTGTTGAGCAAAAACTAGCATTGTTGTTACTGCTACTGATGTAATAAAGCGTATCCTTACATAGTTCCTGGTATCCATGGTTAGAAAGTTTTTAGGGTGTCAGCAGAGGCACTGGCCATGATGGTTTGACAATGAATAAGTCAACATTATTAATTTAAAAGGTTTCTCGCTCGATTTCCGCAATTTTGAGGGATTCTGCCAAGCTGACATAACTCGCATAAGAAGTGATGTCATCAATAAGAAAGATCCATTCTCCTTTCATCAGATTATTATCAAAATTGATTCTCTAAGTAGGTGGAATACAAATGGGCTATACTTACTTGTGTGAGTAAAAACTACTTGAACGAGATGGTGCATGAGTATGAGGTGAGTGCATTTGTTGGTTTTGTGGGATGACAGGTGGAGGTGGTTTTTGCCAGCCTTGGCCTGGACTCGTTTTCTCCATCTTCTCCACTTGACTCCTTACGATACTTGGATGCTCTTCTTTGACTCCATTTCGAGCATCCACGCTATCTACACTGCCCCATCGGCCAGCTGTAAAAAAATTATCAGTTTCGTGATCAATTGTTCTTTCAGCGTGAACTTAAACAAATTCATTTGCATAAAAAAGGAACAGTTTGACAACAATACAAAAATGTATAGAAAATCCATTAAAAGTATCCTGACAGTAACATTTCTTTAATATTTTCCTTCATTGTTTCTCATTTATAATTTTCATACTTACATCATTCTTCCATCTAAGCACCACTGAAAATTACAGTGAAAAACTGCAAATAAACACTGTTTAATAGGTAAGCTTCTCAATTTTTTTTGTTGAGATGTTCCAAATATTAAACACTAGGAAGTATAAATAAAGAAAGGATTTAGAACTTTACCTAATTGTTGCTGAAGTAGAAGCCGGCGATCAGAGTCCAGTTTATTTGCTGACGGTCGGCTGGTAGTTTTGTTTGTTGAGCGCAAGCTATGATTAGCCGTCACTAACTCCAACTTATGCTTCATTTCATTGCTAATACGAAGCTTGCCAATACTGCCTGCAGCACTTGGTTTTGTCAGAGTTGTGTCGAGCGATCTGCAGGAAAAATAAATTTGCTGGTTTGTGAGAATATTTTAGGGGCACAACAACGCGTTTTTTTCAAGCATCGGTTTAAAATAACGAAGCTGCTGATAAAATTTAGTGTTGAAACTTCTACAAGAAGGATGTTTACTGGGGCCCTTCAAATGGATTCAAGTACTTTTTTCAAATTATTGAGAAAAATTACGGACCCCTAATTAAAAAAAGAATTATTACTTTTTTAGTGCTTATCAAGAAATATTTTTTTGAAAATTAGTGAATCACTACTGTGGCAGGTGCATTAGCTGATCGATTGTTCTAAGTACCCGGTTTTGATCCGTTTTCACACACAAAAAAAAAAATAATTGTTGGTGTGATTAATCTAACAAAGAAAATTAATGCCATTGGATAAATTTTGCTGTTAAAAAAAGGTTTATTAGGGTAATCAATAAAACATTTCCAACACTACTTGTAGCTTAACTCTCGGGACAACCACTTAAATTAAGAGGGCAATGTATATCATACAAAAAAGTCTAAACCGTTTGTACACTCTCCATGCTCTTTCAGTGCTTTGAGATCTACTTGGGAAATTCTAATGTTTTGCGTATTTTTTTGACCTGCAGACATTCTATGCACGTGAAAGTAGTTATTTGCAAACACGCTTTTGTATTCATATCAATTAATTTGTCGTCTTTGTGACCAAATTTTGATCTAGCAGAAATGCTCACTCTGGAGATTTATAAACCCTTTAACTTCTTCAGTTCTTCTGTGTCTTTAAAATTCCTTATTACCCAAAGAATTGTACACCATCTATTATAATAAATTTTGAATGTCCTCATGACATTTGGAATAAAACTATTCATTCAACTTTGAGAAAGTAAAAGACCATCAACTTACTTGTATTGTATTTGTTGATTTTCGGGCGACTTTGGTGGAACAGCTGGGATGGAACTTTGTTCTGAAGCCAGGTCAAACTCTTCCCATTCTATTCCATCTTGTAAATCACTACTGTGCTCCTAAAAAAGAAAGAAAAAAAAATACAAATTACTTTGTACTTGCAAAACTTCTTTTTCCTGACAAAGCAGAAAAAATATCAAAGAAGCACCTCATAATGATATTTTTCAGCAAAATATCATGGTTACTATTAATAATAAAAGCTAGCGGATATTTATACAATCATTACTTTGTAAATGGTATTGATATTTCAACTTTATATTGACCAAAGAAAAGAAGAAAAAAAATAAAATAAAAATAAATAAATACACTTCATAATGGGAAAAAAAGAAATCTAGACTCAATTACTCCAGTCTCCAAAAATCCTTCAGAAATAGCCCTAAGAAACATTTTTATCCTATGCATTGGATGACAGGTGATCAATCTTGGTTTCAAGCAAACGTAAGATTTCAGAGCTATAACAGGGTTTCTAGTTTTTTTCATTTTGGGAAATCCTGATTTTTCCTGATTAATGACTGCTAAATCCTTATTTCATAATTTTTCCAAATTCTGATTTTTTGCGTATGCGAGCAGAACTAGCTCAATAAAAAAATCCGATCGGACGGCCGACTTTTCTCAAATCCTGATTTTACGACCGATTTTTCCTCAAATCCTGATGAAATTGGGATTAAATCCTGATTGACTTGAAATCCTGATGGAATCAGGAAAATCCTAATGCTAGACACCCTGTATGATTTGAATTCTAGACTAGATTCTTAAAATCATCATTATCCTTTAAACGCAAGGGTCCCGTTTTTGAAGCAGGAAAAACCTTCATGAAGAGAAATACACGAATTAGTCTCACCTGTGAATGTTTTCTACGCTGCTTCATTTTGAACTGTAAGAAAGACGTATCAGAATTATCATCTTTTGGAGGAGGCCACCTCCACTTTCCAATCCTAACTGTTTTTGCACGACCATAGGGATCCATGAACGGTCTTGTTTCACTCGGGTCACCTAATTCTGGTGGCGGCGGCATGGGAGGAGGTGGTGGGACGACACTCTGAAAAAAAATAAAATAGAACAGAGTAAATTTTTTGAATTTCCAATCTGTAAAGTGTCTATTGAGCTCTTAGGCAAATTTTTCATATTTTAATCTTATTAAAAAAATAATAATAAAAAAAATACAATTTCAATAAAATTTACAGTCTGTCTTTTTCATTGTACCCTTTCTACAAAAACTCTCACCATGGTGAAAAAGTTTTTCGTATTTTCACTGAATATCGATGTACTTTTTTTTCCACTACAGGATTTGAAAAATTGTTTCAAGTGACTAAAAACTGCTTAGGTGTGTGTTCAATGATTTTGAGCTAAGGAAATTGAGAGAAAAGAATGTGAATGATCTTATAGGGATGGATTGCAAGGCAAATAATTTACAATAAATATATAAAATATAAATAATAATTGTTGAACGGTTCCTTTCATACAATACAAAAATTGAAGCAGAGAGAAAAAAGAATAATTTCATTTGTTGCAAAAAAACCCATGTTACTTTGCAGCACTGTTCACAACAATCTAACACAAGTTTTACCTTTAAAGAACTTTTGAAGAGAGTCAATTTTGAGAGACCTGGGTATAGGGTCATAGTCATTGTCATTTTTAATACATTAAGGCCTCCTAAAGCCATAAGAATTGCATTCAGCCTCAAAATTTAAGGAGTGACTGTGAATACGACCGATAGACTTGGCTCCACTGTTATTTTTACACTTTTGTAAAAATACGTAATAACAAACAAGATTCTGTTATTCATATCAGTAATTTTGTTAGAGGATTTTGAAATTAATTACCTTGGCAGTTGAGTCTGTGGATGATTTTCGGCTTTTGAGTTCACTCAAGACACTGGTGAAAGCAGACTGAGGGGTTCCATTTTGATGAGGCTTGAAAAGAGAAAATAAATAAATGAGAATATAAATTACAGACTAAATAAAGTATCAATACATCCTTATGTACCTACTTATGTTATAGGCAATGTCTAGTTGTGAGTACCTCGGCATTGATGACAATGCCTTAGGGGCACATTAAATAATAGCGCAAGGTGCAGGGTGGCGATGCTGTTAATGGTGCCAAAAGGCACATGGGAATTATCAAGAATCACCTATATATTTGTACAGAGCTATGCCAGACGACTTTGCTTGTTTCACGATAGGTATTGGGCCCAACAAAAGTAGCGAACAGTCCCAATTACAGGAATTTGTTCTCTCCTGCCACCTAAAGTAGTAAAGGCAAAGTAACTTGCTTTTAACTGTTTTCCCCTTGGGCTACAGACAATAGACCAATAAAGCTGATATTTCTGTGAATGAACCCTTTCAACGTCTTTCAATTTTACGAGACTTTCTTTGTATGTTTCCCTGAAAAAAAGGTACCTATCCTCCTAATTTTTTGGAGGCAGATACTTGTCAGTTCTTAACCAACTTAAGAATGATCAAGACAAGGTACTACATACTTACAAGCATATCTCAAGAATTATTTCAAAAACTTAAAATTGTGAGGATAGCGCTTCATGGGGCTGGTTGAATACCCCTTGAAATTATCAAAGAATATTGAAGTCTTACAAATATATTACACTAAAAAAGAATGTTACTCTAAAGCCCTGCCAAGAAACACTACTACTTGAAGATTAACATTGATCTCAACAACAATTAAAGTTTTCGAGTAACACAGAACAAAATCCATTCAATGATGCTGAAAATGGAGAGTTTGCATGCAAATTTTTTATTATTTCATCTGAGAGTGAGATTTCACAATATGTGTTGAGATTTTTTTTCTGATAAAAAAGAAATAGTACTAAAATAGAGTTAAAAAGGAGAAAATGCATCTAGTGCCCTTATCATCTGGCGGCATTTCCCATTTAAATATGTGTATTAAAGCAGATCAATCATTTTGTCATATCTCTTCCACTGATGGGACGTATTTCTGCCAAACTGAACTATGTGCATTAAGACATGAGCCCTGAGACCCGTGCGAATGTATATGCATAACAGGGCTTGCTTCATAATGCACATAGTTCCGTTAGGCAGAAATACATCCGATTGTTCAATTTACGAACCGAGGCTATCCTTGTGTTCAATTCACTCAGTAATTTTCACTTAAACACGAAATACATCAAATTTCAGACACTTGCAAATTCTCCATTATTTTCTTTTACTAAGTGGAAAAATCATAAATAAACCAATAATGGAGGGAGAGTCATCAAACCTGTGCTCTGGTAGGGGTAGAGGTGGAGCGGGCCTTGGGCGGGGAGTTGCCCCACTGCGGTGGCTCGGTTGTAGAAACTCTTTGCTGCAGTAACTGTTGGAGCGCCTGATTCTGGGCGAGAAGTTGCTGCTGAATTTGAATGTTCTGTGCCATGGCTGATTGCAAGAATGCCTGTTGCACTGATGCCTGATACGCTATTACATTCTGCTCAACACTTCCTCCCCCGTTCTGACTTGGTAATGACATTCCTACATCAACATTGTGAGAAATTGAAAAATAATAGAAATATATTTCTGCCAAAGATCAAGGAGGAATTCTAGTTTACGACAAATTCATCTTTTGTTTGACAACTGGTTTTACTGCACATTCTCCAATATCTTGGAGAAGACTTTAGTGTGAATTTGTGTAGCAGATGCAAAGCTACACAAACGAATGGTAAAAATTTGAAAATACATACTTGTACTATCAGTCTTGTTCAAAATGTACGTTAATTTTTTATCTATTCACGAAAATAGCTGCATAAATTTAGATTATTTGTGTTCATCATCCTATTTGTGTTCCTACATGCATATAATCAAACCATTCACTTGATTATTTGCCTTGTTATCAAAATTTGCTGTTCTTACAGCCCGAATTCCTTACGTTATAAGTTGTTCTTGACTCTTATTTTTTTTTCCCACTTGACATGGGTATCTTCCCATCTTCTAGATACTTAAAATTACGTAAGATACTAACCTTGCATATTATAAATAGGTACAGGCACAAAGCCAGATGTCTGAGAACCATCCATCTGGTACCCTAGACTTGTGTTTCCACTGTTTTGGTTGTACATTGGCATGGTTGGTACGAGTAATGGAGGAGGGGAGATGAGACCAGACATAGGTGGGCTACCAATTGGTGAAAAATTGAATGCCCCCGATTGGTTTTGCGATTGTTGCACCCCTCCCACAGTGCGACCACCACCTGAAAACAGACATTTTTGTAAATGACCTGTATTTGATTTGCTAAACATCTGAAGAAAACATTGGTTCATTTCATATAAGTAGGTTACTAATTGTCCTTCTCAAATTTGATTGGCTTTGGCATGGAGGAAGAAAAGGAAATAATAGGATACATGTATTTTTTTCGGACTTCCAATGTTTTATCATTTATAAGTTGCGATTATTTAGTGTTTTTATATTTTTGCGTCAACTAAATCCTAAGGTTGAGCCCATTGTGCACATTCTCATAATATGGTTTGACCAGAAATCTCCTTAAGTTACGTTTGGTAGGTACTATCGAAATGTTCTCACATGGATGAGAATTTATCAAAGGGGTATAAGGAGAAGTTATTGCATCTCTTATTCAGAATTTGGCAAAATTCTTCCAGCAATTCCAACACAACATATTCAGAAATTTTTTTTTGCTGTTATTGAATTTGAAGCTGTTTAAAATTATCCTTCTTACGTCAAAAACAACTTTCAAAACTTTTTGGTGCACAAAAGGGAGGACGGTCTGAGTGACCTTCCATGCAGCTGCTGAATTAGATATTATGATTAAAAGCTATCATTAGACATCGTTAGAAATAATGTTTACCTTTAATTGAAGCAGACAATTCACCAGGCTTGAAGTCTATATTTGGAAACAGAGGATCAAATATGTGCTCCAGTACATCCGACTGACCACCTTTGATTGACGCAGCCAGTGAGCGAGCATCGGACAACTGATCCAAAACAGGACTGAACAGATCATCCAGAAATTGATCGACATCAGATGCTTGTGATGGCACTCGGACTCGACGAACATGCGATGCTAGCGATGGAGCTTCTGATGTATCTGACATGGCCGAACTTTTCACTCCACCATCTTTATCAGAGAGCCGTGTTTCAATTTGCGCCCGTGAGGAGTGACTTCCCGGCATGGCTCTTTTCCCAGCATACTGCGACTTGATGAAACGTGGATGGCCACGCAAATCACTACCTTTATCATCTTCACTTCGTGCGCTCATATCTGGGAAGTCAAAATCTAAATTATTAGACTGTCCGACATCAGAAGACGCTCCCGTTAGGGAATATTTTCTGTTCTCTCCACGCTGACTTACAGACTCCATATTTTCAATATTTTCATCGTCTGTTTTGGAAAGTTCAACATCGGCAACTGTTTCTTGAATCCGTTCCATTGAGTGGTAGCGTTCATTGAGGCGACTGTTTGACAGTCCGAGGGTCTCTAGTTTGGATGGTCCATTGGTTAAAGTAATTGGTGATAATAAATTGTCAAGACTTCTTGATCGGCCTGGTTTGTCAAAGTATCGGTCATTGAGGGCGGACTGCCGAGACAACCCCATCTCCACTGAGTGATCTCTTGAAATTGAACGGACTTTCGAATGGATTGGGCCGGTTGGAGGCTGTGGGGGCGGAACAGTAGGGCGCCGTGCCATTGGCTCATTTTTAGGGTTGATCAAAGTCTGTTGTTTCTGAATTGGGAATGCAGGCGGCAGTTCCAGTTCAGAAATGACATCCAAAACATAGTCCAAGCCATTTTTCTCATCTTCATCATTATCCAGCATGAGTGTCCAACCATGGCATTCAGCTGCACCCTTTTCCATCAGTATGTTTTCACATATAGTCTCACATCTAGTCCAAGAATCCACAGCGGCGGTAACAGCTTCTCCGTTTGCCAAGTGAACCTGCACGGCCATATTGGTTTTCTTGCGATTGGCACGCCATTCAAGCAAGCAGGGTGGGTATGTTCGTGCCCACTGATTGTGTGACATTAGAAGCTTGTTTTGACAAATTGCTTTATATTCATTAAAACCATTGTCCGAGACATATTTCAGTAAAAACTTGTAGAGTGCATGAGATGGAGGAAAAACAGACAGACAGTTGGCCATAAGCAGCCATCCCCTCTCATTGTTGGCGGGAACATCATTGCACCATGTCTGATTTACTAATTGACACAAAATTTCATCGCGCAGCTTCTCATTAGAGATACCTTTGTATGCAATGTAGTCGCCTAAAACTTGCTCTTTCTTTCCCGAGAGAGTCTCATCATTCATAAAACGTAAGATAAGTTTGAAAAGAGCGAGAGAGTCTGAGTAATCCGCATCTTTGGACTTATTCAGGAATGGCGTTTTGATTGGTTCACGCTTCATTCCCCAAACATGCGATTTGAAATATATATTTGAAAATTTAGAGAATACATATTGATCAATATCTGAAGGAAGTGAGCACTTATTTGAGCTCTCTAAAATTGGTCCTACAACTTTGACTAAATTCTGCTCAACATGAGTCGGTTGCCAGTCTTCAATTTTATTGAAAATAAATGCTAATTCTGCAGGAATATCTAAGTGATTTACACCTGCAACTGCCCTAGATGTGCGATCTTGTTCTTCTTTGTGAGCTCTCATCTTTTGTCGTTCTCGAGCTAATTCTGCTCTACGTTTTAACTCCTCTTTCAACTCTGCATACTTCTTACGTTGGCGTTTACCCCTGAACTGCGCTTGAGCTTTTACAACTCCTTTGCGGAGAACAACATACTTTTTCCTTTCTTTCCATCCTCGCACAGCAGCTTGAATCCTGACTGCACTTTTTTTAGTTGTTACAAATTTCTTTCGGGCCAGGAACCCACGGACATTCTTTTGTATTGTTGTAGCAGCTGATTGTAAAATTGAAGCTCGCTCCCTCTCCAGGGTTCTTTCAAGATTTTCTCGTAAGAAAACACGAGTTATGCCCAGCTGGTACTGTCCAGAATGTTTCTGGAGAATGATGTTGCAAATTTCGCGAGAGGGCATACCTCGAGGTACAACAGTTTGCATGGGAAGCAAGTAACTGTAACGTTCTACGAATTCAGCAAACTTGAGACGGATTGGATATCCGAGTTTACGAATACGGATTGTTTCCAACATTCCTGAATAACGGAGTTGTTCTAAGACGATGGGCATATCAAATTTCATGGCAGATTTGTCGTTGTTTGGTTTCAGGCATCTGACAAACCATGGATGGCACCTATGCAAAAAAAATGAAATCAATGAGTAAATTTTGTTTTGCCACTTAGGGAGAAAGTAAATACCTAATTTAAACAAAATGAGAAAACCAAGCAACTAGTCCAGAAAGTAGAAAAAAAAGAAGAGAAATGAGACCATCAATTTTGATGAGGATCTAGCATCTCTTGGTGAAAGTGACGCATTCTTTGTAACACTAAGTATGTACAGCAAATAAAAGTTTTCTGAGCAATTAAAGATACGTCCTAGATCATCATTTTTGGAACAACTTTTGAAACATTGCAACTGAGCTGAAAGACTTCCTAGTTCAGTTATCAATATGTGAGAGAGCAAAATGTGACTCCAACTTGTACAGGAGACTTACTTAGACATGGAATCAAGAAGATGCTGTAAAGAGTCATGAAATCTAGCTGCAACGGTTGGTGTCCGAGGTTTCATAGTGACAAAGCGTCCATTTGCTTTGTTCAACGTTTTAGAGGCTTCATGAGTGTTGCGCATTGCAATAAACATTTTACTCAGCATCTGTAAAGAAACAGAGAAAACTTGATTAAAAAATGAGACTATGTATATTCCAATAAATGGCAAGCTTACGTATGGTTTGAGCATCCGTTTCGAGGGTCTTATCACTCTATGATCACACAATTTTGCCAGAGGTTTCCTGAAGACATAGGCAGCCGTAAATTTTTGAAAGGTGGCACTGATAATAATTATCTTGGAGTATTTACAAGAAATAGCCAATCAAATGGCTACTAAACAGCACTGTTACAATGAGCTGATACTAGTATGTAGACTACTTGTGAGACGGTAAAGGAAAAAATACAAAACGGCAAATAGGGTCCAAAGTGAGTCATAAAGTGAGTGAATAATTCTGACATTAAAAACTTTAAAGAAGTCATGGGCACTTCAAAAGCAGAGCAGTAAGAATTTTGATGAAATACATTACCGGTAAAGAACTAGAGATAAGTAGATCAACAACGTCCGGCCTAAGAGTGTCTCTGTTTTTGTCCAGGAAGCCTTCAACATTGTACCACACAGGGCCTGCGAAATGTCGTACTCCAAATTCTGGACCATTTAACCGCGGCCGAGAATACAACTCATTCAAGGCATGATTGTAGTGGCATTTTTCTAAAAATGAAAGATCTGTGGCTTTGGGGAAGTTTGATTCATCATCCAATAAGTGTAGGATTCCAACAGGTTTCTTGGAGAGGAGATGTATGACAGGCTGATTGTCCTACAAAATAAAAAAAAAGATTAATTTTTTATTTAGGAGAGTAAAAGAATAAAAAAACTTGATGACCTTACTTAATGAGGTTCCTTTTTGGGTATTGGCACTGTTGAACAATGTGCCATCCCGTTCATATTTGGGCAAGTTGATAAAATACGATTCATTGTCATGCTGGTAAATTGACGAAGTTTAACAAAAGAGGAAAACCACCAGCAATGGCAAGGGGTTGAGGCTCTTGTTTGTACTGAGATAGACGGTCCTTTTTCTGTGACCTGTCACAATTGGCCACTATAAAAGGTCTGAATTGGAAGAAATGTAACACGATTTCTTTGCAAAATTTTACGTGGAAAACAAAATACCCAACCAGAGATTCGGAATTCAGCTTGTGAATTGGATATTAATAAGTATGTTTAACGAGGACCAAATGGAAGTCCGATTATTTAAATGATGCCATTTGCAATTAATCCTAACTATAATATACACATTTTTTTTAGGAGTAGATTATCAGACTTCCTGTTACTTCCTGATTCTGTTCTTTCTGATTTCCTGATTTGTTTTCCTACTGAAATTTTGAAAAGAAGTCATTTTGCGTTGTGTTACAATTTATACTTGGTCTATAAGCCTCCTACAGAGGTATGATAAAATTGACTTGGGATTAGTTTACTAAGTGCACTAGGTAATTATTTACTCTTACAAAATTAATAACTCTGTCCAAACTAAAATAACCGAGGAAAATGCCCAGTAGGGGTGGTCAGGTGCATCCTGAACCCAAAAATAAAAAGCAACTCACAGCGTAGGTTATGTTCTGCCATTGAATTTTCTCCTTAGCATATTCTTGCTGTTCCAACTTAAATATATGCTTGTTGAAATACGACTGAAGATGCTCATTTGCATAATTGATACACAGCTGTTCAAAACTATTTTCTTTGAAGTCCTCGAACCCAAAAATGTCAAGAATCGAAATAGCTGAAGTGCGCTTAGTTCCTTTGTATACAATGTGGTTGATGCGGGCGACAAGCCATGTAAAGAGTGAACTATACAGTGCTTTGGCAAAGGCATCCCGGGCATCAAGTGCTTGGTCTATCGTGAGCGCTGTAAAAAGGCGTTCATTTCTTGCTTCCGTTGTTTTAGTTGTTAGAGCCTGTTTGATCCCATCTACGTCCAATTTCAGCAGATGACCTGCCCAGCGAATTTCTGCATCTGAACCAATTTCCACACCTTCTTGCCCATATTTTAATTGTTTTCGGTGAAAATAGATGTTTCCCAAATGCAGAACTGTCAACAGAAACAAACAAAACAATCTCATTAACTTTGAGGAATAAAAAGTGTTAGGAGGCTGCATCTCCTATTTCAATTTTAATTATTATGATAATTTGTTTATCCTGTTACTTACACAGTGATTCATTCTATTTTTAAGTATGAAACGGTTTGCCGAATGATTTGAAAACCGTTAAGAAAACTCTTGACTTCCACATTTAACTGTCTTTTTTTAATTCTCATGGTACAAAACAGACAGAATGCAAAAAATTATTAAGGTAAGCAGAATCAGACAGAAAATAAAACTGAGACACTGATAGAGCTAAAATTCACTCTCCAAATTCAGATCCCGATCTTTATCTCCTTTCTCAAAAACCATTCATTCAAAACCACTGAGTCATTTTCCATCTACATTTGCATAATCCTCCTTAGGAGACTGAAAGGCCTTCTTTTGACCAAGGGACTCTTTTAAAAAATTATTTGAAGGGATAAGCAGAGGAAATAGACAGGCAGCAGATCCTTACCTGAGGCTAAAATTCTAAAAATAGTGTCTTGCTCATCTGAAGTGAATCCTAAAACCTGCATGGCAGACATCAGTGACTGAAAATCTTCACCGTCATATTTGCCATCAATTTCACAATTTCCACCCTGAAGAAAGAAAAAATATAAAGGTTAATTAACATACTAAAAAACTAATATCCATTAATATGATTTTCAATAAACTGAAAAAATGAAACAACTACAACAAATGGGATAGAGAAAGTCTTACAGACGTTCTGTAGAAAACGCTAAAGAAAATTTTGCTGAGACCAAACTAAACATGAGAAGGAAGTTGTAGTAGAATTTTTATGGCCTTACTCCTTAAACTTAGTCCACTTGACCCAGAAAGTCCATGTGCCACTTAAGTTTCAACTGATTCAAAAGACCCATGCCTGTAGATAGGTTTTTTTACATTTGTATTGGGCTTAAAAGACAGGCCTCTTCAAAAAAAAACTGATTTCATGCATGGAATAAGAACTTTTCACGAGTCCTTAAGGAACAGTGTTTTTATCAAAGTCCTTTGTTATCTCTTAAGATTCATTTATTACCTGATTTAGATAAAAATATTTATCCGCTGACAGTAAACCATACTTGAGTTTATTTTCATCGGATAATCCTGCTAAGAGTTCATAGAAGACATGGTAGTTACGCTCATCTGGTGCTTGCGTGACAATCCGTGATTTCTCTAATAAATATTCTGTTACTTTAGCACCTAAAATTACACCTCTGCAATGCAATAAAAAAATTAAAGAATTAGAGATACAATGAATCATTCATTCTACGAACTTGGTAAAGAATGTGGAGAGAATATTTCAAAATAGGAAAAACGGAAATAGCTCCCTTTCTTTCTCTCCCTCTATTTGTCAGATAAGTTGCTGCTATGGTCATCGCAACATAGTTTACGCATTTTTCTATTTTGCCTTGTCTGCACAAGGTGAGTCTTTTCTCGGTCACTCTATGATAGGCTGAGCGGCGGAAGGGGGCGGGGGAGGGGGGAGTAGGGAGGAGGATTGAGGCTCCACTTCCAGCTGGATCAGAATTAAAACTAGTTGGTTTTTCACAAATATCTTGTAAGTGTTTGATCTTGCAGGAACTAAGACCCTTTTTAAGGACATAAAATTTCCTTTCAGTTCATTGGAGCAAATATACTGAAAAAAAAATGTCTTTTATCGAAAGTATGGCTTTGAAAAGCCGCAGCAAATATTTTTGGAAGCAGCGACCTTTTTATACTAGCAGGTCAGATGGTTGGAAAGCACACCAGCAGTTTCCGGGAGAGTAAAGGAAGAGCGTCACCATTATCTGCAATCGGATGCAGTTGTCAGCTGGTTCCGCAATCCGAATCCGGTACCACCCAATGCAATGTGGTTGCAGATACATTGTCCAGCCGTAAAAATACAAAAAATCAGAAATATCCCTTAATAGCATTGAAATTTTTCTGACTTTCTCGGTTGCTTTCTCCCCCGAAATTGTCCTGGTTTTACAGGTTGCTAACTGTCCTGTTTTCACTAGATCTTACTTGACTGGTGTTATCACTTTTACTGCAGTTTGAAATCATAGATGTTCCTAATCCATTTTTCCCCCATTTTTAATTTATTAAGTATGTATAATATTTAAATCTTCCTTTACAAAGGAGCTACTCGCAGAATGCTCAGGGCAATGGTTTCTACTTTCCTCCTCCAAATTTCATCCTTTATTTGTTCCCTGTGCGTTTTTGATGAACAAAATAAGGCAGTGTAACTTACTCTTTGAAGTGGACTTCTAAGAATTTTCCAAAACGGGAGGAATTGTCATTCCGTACAGTTTTGGCGTTACCAAAACTTTCCAAGAGTGGAGAAGCTTCTAAAATTTGTTCCGTGATGAGATTTGATGGGGCTTTGTTGACAGCTGCTAGATATTGCATTACTAATTTTGTTGACTCAGTCTTACCACTACCAGATTCACCCGAGATTACTACCACTTGGTTGCTACGGGGTAATGAGTTGTAGGCAGCACAGCCTATTGCAAATAAGTGCCTGCAAGAAAAGGTTAATAATTCATTTTAGAAAAATGAGAAAACTAGAGACAAAACATGTCTACATCAAGTAAGAGGATTAAAGCAACATTATACACACTGCTGGCAAGAACCAAGGATCAATCAGGTCGGTAACCTGCATGATCTCGTACCTAATTTCTAAACAGTCCATTAGTAATGTTTTTAAAATTGTTTTGAGAGCAGGGGCATCAATGAAAGATGAGAGAACTCATCACCCCTACCTATTACGTATGAGCTCTCTTGCGATGGATCTAGACAAGGTACAAAATTAAGCATTCTGAAATAGATTTCCTCTAAGAAATTCAGGTAGAACCCAAGTTGGGCGACCAAAATTGCTGAATTTCAGTCCCCACCAAGAAATTAAAAGGTTTTATTCAGCATTGGTTACATAAAAATAGTTAAGTACAAAAAAAAATTCACTCAGAAAAAATAATACTTACGGAGGTAATGTTCCCAAAATTTGGCTTTCATACTTTTTCACCATATCCAGCCCGTACATATCATACATTCTATACGGATTGACGGCTACTAAAATGCTACCAACATATGTCTGAAAAATAAAGGGAAAAATCAAAAAGTTGAAACAAATAAACAACGATTTTCAGTTAAATTTTGAGCAATTCAATTTTAGGCACCTACTGAATAAGTACTTAAGAAGTAAAAACAACGAAACTAGGTATGACCTCTCTTTCTTCCTGAAAATTATGCTATTGGTTGTCATAATGATTTCAAAAGACATGAAACTAGAATGTTTGTGGCTTGAGTTTCAAAATAATTTCCCATCAGTGCTTAGATCGACCCGTTTCAGTTATTTTAGTGCCATGTCAAAATTGACCAGCTCATCAGGATTTTTCCCGGTTTTCTCGCCTGCCTGTAGTCAAAGTGTTGAATAAACAAATTCTCATCAAAATCAAGCACGACGGGTGGCTGAAAAGCAATGCCTTCAGACTCATAGCTATAACTAAAGTGGCATTTCTGCAACAGCTAAAAAAAAACCTAAAACTGAAAAGACTAAAAAGAACACACAAACAAACTGAACCAGCAAAGGTATACTCACATAAATCAGTTCTTTATCGTAACGAATTTTGAGATTCCATAAAAGTGATGCTTCGTTCAGATCTCTGAAACAGAAATTACATGGAAACATAGAACACGAAATAAAGCAATAATTTGCAAGCTACAAATAATAGAAGTATCTTCGAATAATCGAAGAATTTCGCCAGCAGCTTACAATTGCTTTTACCTCTACAGTTTTGAAGTTCAAGTGGGGCAAATTTTGAGTGTGAAATAACTTTAAGCAACAGCCAGACGATAAAGTTTATGCTAAACGTATCTAAATGCGCATACTAGGACTTAGTTAGTTTTTGGCCTACCGCTCTCTTCTTGTGCCGTAGTATCTTGATTTATTTTGCGAGGAAAGCTCCGTACTTTTGAAGGATGCCTGTCATTCTTAATATGTTGGAGCGTCTCCAATTTCTTATGATACTTTGCAATACCTCTGGTGTGAAATAGTTGATTCAGACGCCGTGGCACGCTGAGGCGCGGCGGGCGGGCAGATAGCGCGAAACGTGCATTGGCGCCTACAAACCTAACAGGGATACTTCACGCATTGCGCAATGCGTGAAGTATCCCTGTTAGGTTTGTAGGCGCCAGTGCGTCGCCGCGCAATGCGTGAAGTATCTCTGTTAGGTTTGTAGGCGCCAATGCGTCGCCGCTCCGCTTTGTGTTAGGCTCTAATATTTAATCTCGCGGAGTCAGTGTTTTTCAACCCATGATTTTGAAATGTTTGCACACTCTGTATGGACCATCTGATTTTAATTGATGAAAAAAAAAATGTTTTAAAGGAAAATATAATGTGTGTTTTGTAGATATTAAGGTAGTTCCGTATCAAACTTAATGATTTCCAAAGCACACGAATTTATACACAATTTCTTATAGCCTTTTATAGCCAATGGCGATAAAGTGTAAAGCCTGGCGATAGGAACTATAGCCCGACTGTATACTTTTTTATAGCTTCGTATAGCCCGGCTATATGATTTGCTCCGCTTTCTACAGCCAGCTATATGATTTTCAATAGCCTTCTTTAATCGGCTATAAGAACTCCTATGGTATTTTGAAACGCAGCTCGTATCGCCAATTTTTACCAGGGTATGTAAGTTCTTTCTGAAGACTCCTGATGATGAAGAAGCTCCTTCTTTTGCAAAAAAAAAATCTTACTCCTTTACATGAGAGAGTCCTTCAATTATTTTAGATTCATTACTGTTTAAATCAAGCAATTCATTTGCAGGTACCTTCTCTTCATAACTAAAACAGACATGTACATGAAAAAACTGATAACAAAATAAAAAATGAACTGAAGAAAAGAGAGTTAGGACTTACGAGAGTTGGATCATATCCTCAATTCCATTTTGGCCTAGGTCTTCTCTCCTTTGAACACCGTTTGAACTCGTCAGAGAGAAAATTTGCGGCTGCACAGGCAAAAGAAATACAAAACTTCATTAAAAAGTTGCATAACTATGGAGTCAAACTTAACTCAATACGAACTCTTAAAAATACCATATTTTTCAGATATGTTTGAAATTCATATGCCCTAATATAATGAGAGTACCTATCGTGAAAAAATCCTCAGAAGCTACCATAATGAAGTTGCTCTTGATGTAGGCACTCATTTTGTTACCTTCAAAGCTTTCATCTTTCATTTTCTTCAAATTTCCCTGGTTACTTTCTCCCCGCCTTTTGGAAGTGATTTCGTCACGAAAAGGCGGGGGAGGAGGAGACGAAATTTCATCGAAAATTTAGGTATGAATTATTCGTATAATTATAAGAGGGGGAAAATGATTTGACACCAGTTTATCAAACTCACACTGGCAGTGCTCTCTTTCAAGAAAAGCTCAAAGATTCTCCATTTAAATACCTGAAAAAATTTAGAGGAAAAACTTGAAATCCGGAGAGCCGATTTCAAAAACTCTAAAAATCATCAGAAAATTCTTGCAAAACGATCCGTTGCGGGCCGACCATAGATCTTTTTCGATGTATCAAATAGGTGAGATTGTATCGATATCGATGGGTTCAGCATGTAAACGTAGCCTCAAAAGTCAATCGAGTAATCTGAGGAAACGGGGGTTTTCTGATAGAGTTTTGATGCTTATGAGAACTAAATGGCATCGCAAGGTGAAATAGTAAGAAATTTTCTGATATTCAGCTTTTCCGACTGAAATCCTGAAAGTTCTGTTTGAGGTTATGTTCTATTGTTTTGAACCAAACGACACATCGAACCACAATCGAAAACGATCAATTAAGCGGCATGGCGGCTCGGCATGCGCGGCAAAGCGGCCGTTATAACTACACGCAATCCAATCCAATATTGGCTCCCGGCCCGCCCGAAACCTGCCACGCTCCATATCGCCTGGTCTCGGCTCAAGGCACCGACAAGCTCCAAAATTAATTTGCAACTCGCGGCAAGTCTCAGGCCCGTCCGCAGACAAACGAGCAAGTTAGAAGAGGTTTTGGGATTGGCAGCTCGACTGGAGACATCCATGGGTTTCAAGAGTTCGCGGAAACACGGGTTGGCTCCATTGCAAAATGCACTGACCTCAAGAGAGTCCCATTAAAATTACTCAAACACTTACTTGCTTCCCTATCGCAGTGTAACTAAAGAAAGAAATAAGAATTTACGTAAATAAAGTAGAGCTTTGAAGAATGTTGAGTGAAAAAAAATGTTCGATTGGTTTGAACAAAAACTCCTGTGTGTGTCCCGCTCTTTGCGACACTAAAGCGTAAGGAAAGAACTTAATTCCCTTCTTGGCTATACGCTTAATTCCCTTCAAATTATATCGATTTTTTTCCCCTCCTGAAAAAATACATAGGTCTTGGGTTTGGCAGCTCAAATAGAGACATCCATGGGTTTCAAGAGTTCGCGGAAACATGGGTTGGCTCCATTGCAAAATGCACTGACCTCAAGAGAGTCCCATTAAAATTACTCCAAAACTTACTTGCTTCCCTATCGCAGTGTAACTAAAGATAGAAATAAGAATTCACGTAAATAAAGTAGAACTTTGAAGAATGTTGAGTGAAAAAAGAATGTTTGATTGTTTTGTACAAAAACTCCTGTGTGTGTCCCGCTGTTTGCGACACTAAAGCGTAAGGAACAAACTCAATTCCCTCCTTGGCTTTATGCTTAATTCCCTTCAAATTATATCGATTTTTCTCCCTCCTGACAAAATAGGTCGGATGGATATGTGAGGCTTTAGGAATCGCCCATTCAGCCATGGAAGGTTCGAAAGTTAACCCTTAGAGATTTCAGCTGAAAGAAAAACCTTGAGCGAATAGACGGATGTGAGGCTTCGGGAATCGACCAATCAGTTATGGGAGATTTGAAAGTTAACCCTCAGAAATTTCAGCTGAAAGAAAAACCTTGAGCGAATAGACGGATGTGAGGCTTTGGGAATCGACCAATCAGTCATGGGAGGTTTGAAAGTCAACCCTCAGAAATTTCAGCTGAAAGAAAAACCTTGAGCGAATAGACGGTCTAACGGTGCGGTTGTTCGGGCTTGTGAACCATTGATCATGCAAATTGACGATGATGCATCGAGAAATACGGAAAAGTGAATTACGGTAGGATGATTGCGGAGAAACGCGGTGGTAAAAACACTCAAGAAACTACGTAGTCACGTCTAGCCCCACCCTGGGCCCCGGCATGGGATGCCTTGAGCCTAAAGGCATTCGCGACCGAGGATAGAAGTGATATCCAGGACCGCAGATCTTTCTATCCGCGCGTTCAAGTCTCCGAGCGCCGCGGCGCACAGTGGATCGAATCAACAGAAGAGGTCGGACAGCCACTTTTTCCGTTTAGTAAAATATAGCCCATGACCTCTTTTAATCGCCTTAAACTTGATTAATTCTGTCACAAGAATTACTAAGTTGGTTTTAACCAGCTCAAGCTTTATGTGCTTTTTTTTTGTTTTTACTTCTGTTTTAGTGTTTAGTTAGTTCTGTAGTAGTAAACTGTGAACGCTTTTAACTCCGATTATACAAAACGTTGAGGTTTTGTAAGTGATTCTATTGGTTGTCTCGTAGAATTTTCTTTCAGAAACACCTCTGACAATTGAAGTTTGACAATATAATTATGAAAATAAGGAGCTAGTTTCTGTCGAAACTTTCATCTTCCATTGAATCGTTTCACTGTGCGACGGCTGCTAGCGACTCGGAGTCTGCATGCGCTGAGCTAAACTGTGCTTTGCTTTCCCTCTTTCTCCGTTGAGTTTGGCATGTGACATGCGGCATGCGGCGAATGGGAGGGGACCAGCGAATCGTGGCTGTAATGCCAACAACACGGCTCTGTTGCCGCGTTTAAACCCTCCATCTCAGGGCTGTATACCACGGATTCCTGCGTGAAACTCACACGTGAAATGAAACCCGAGAGCTTGCGGAGTAAATGTTGCAACTGAGTACTCTAGATGAAGCCCGTAATGCAAAACCTAACCTGACCTTGGAATAGTATCACGGTGCCTATGGATTGTCAGAGGAAGAAATTCGTTGACTTTTTAACATTTTCCCTCACTGAGATGATAAAAAGGCCCTTATTCTCATCTACCGACGGGCGTAAAAAAGGAAGTATATTTTACCGTAAACACGGCGGTAAAACAGGGCTGGATCCACGCTTCATTGCGGGGAAAGAAAAGCCATAAAGTTCCGCAATTTTTCAATTAGAGTAAAAAATGTTGAGTCCATACTGGAAAAAAAAAAAAAAACACATTGAATCTAGAGTTCAGACTCTTAAAAACATCGACAAGAAAAAATACTCTTGATTCAATCAGATTTAAGCTTAAATCAAGAACCAAGCCTCTTAATTTGAGCGGATTTCCTTTTGGTCTAAGCTTAAATCTGATTGAATTAAGAGTCCTTTTTCTTGTAAATATTTTCAAGAGTCTGGACTCTAGATCCAATGTGTGTGTGTGTGTTTTTTTTTTTTTTTTTTTTTTTTTTTTTTTTTTTTTTTTTTTTTTTTTTTTTTTTTTTTTTNTTTTTCTTTTTCTTCCAGTGCATACATCTGCCTGAGCTGAACACTCTCGCCCCTCAGTCTTGTACTGATACCCATTGGAGCTCAACATTTTACTCTCTTACTCTAATTGAACATGTTTTGAACTTATTGACCTTGCTGCCCCGCCAAAATAGTGTGGACTCAGCACTATTATTGTACCGTTCTCTTAAGTACAATTCGGCGATTCTCAAAAATCCTTGCTTTTTCCTCACTTTTCCCTTATCTCACACACATTTTTCTGGTCTTCGGATTGGGAGAGTGGAATGATGGAATGACAAAGGAATAACCGAAAAACACGAGGAATCTAACCAGAGACTTGATAAATGGATTATGTTCGAAAATTACATACCCCTTAGGCTACTTTAGACTTCATCACGAAAATCTCGAATTTCCGTACCTTATCGCAGAAAATCCGTACCTTTTCACGGAAAATCCGTACCTTTTCTGTGCCTCCGTACCAACCTTCCATCCGAGATCCGTGCTTTTTCAGTGGATCCGTACTTTTTCCGCACAGTAGACACCCTGTACATACGTCGTCTCTAAACCGAGCCAGAAATTGTAGTTTCGGGTCACAAAATTCAGTCCAACTACTTTTCTTGGTCTTGAAACTCATTGTGGAATCTGGCGATTTAAATCGATTTGGCACACTATAATGAGGCCGAGAATGTAGGCCTATACTAGAAAAGCTCGGAGCTTCAAGGTTGTGTCCACACACCGGAGCAGGACAGAAAATGAGCATAGAGGGTTTTTACTCTCGCAATCAGTGCGGACAATCGCTATGCAGTTCTGATTTGAATCAATGAGCATCCAAACGGCGCAGCGCAGCGCTGCTCCGGAGTCGAAGAAAGGAACGGCGGGCGTATATACGACCACGCCTGTGCATATAACACCGTTTGTTTGCGTCGTAAGTTACATAACGAGTTCTTACCTCAAGCCTAGTCGGTATTTTGTGACTCCAACTTGACTCGAAACATTCTTCGAGCTTTGACCACGTGTCAGAGAACATAAAAAAAATGGATCGTCGATGAGCGAAGATCCCTCACTGGAAAAAAAAAAACACATTGGATCCAGAGTCCAAGCTCTTGAAAACATTGACAAGAAAAAATACTGTTGCTTCAATCAGATTTTTGCTTAAATCAAAAGGAAATCCGCTCAAATTAAGAGGCTTGGTCCTTGATTCAAGCAAAAATCCGATTGAATCATGAGTATGTTTTCTTGTCGATGTTTTTAAGAGTCTGGAATCTAGATCCAATGTGTTTTTTTTCCAGTACTGTTAAAAATGAGTTTAATGTTCGCATATTACGATCTATCGAAGGCGTGCTATCGAAGAACGTCGTATGAGCCTTTAAACGTTGCCATATTTCCTTCGATAAAAAGCAAATACAATGGGGAAAATGGTGAATTTTTTTCCTCGAAATGTTTAGACAGTTTTGTTTGCGATTTAATCTGAAATATATGCAAATTTCAAAGGAAAATGTGCATAACTTCCTTCAAAAATAGACATTTTATCGAAGGAACTTTCACAAATCTCAAATGTTCATACGGCTTTCTTCCATAGCACAGCCGTAATGCTCTGGAACGTCGCGTCGTATGTGACCAGCATTGTAATACTTGTAGGTCAGTATTACCTAATCAACGATAATTTGGAGGTAAGAATTCCGTAAAAATGACAACTCGTGTCATTTGAAAGAATGTGCTCCGTGCTGTTCAACAGAGCTTTGTCGTGATGTGAAATGTGATGTGACAAGTGATTAAACTAATATGTGCCGGAGCTAACTTCTAAAGGTTAAAAAGATTGCCAAATTGAGTTATTCAGTGTGTGATTTCTTGGTCAGCATTTTTACTGATAATTCATCATCAGGGTGTCTACTGAAAAAGGCTGGCCAAAAATTAGCATTTGTACATTACTTTTTCAGCACATTCCCGAGAAATTCGGTACCTCCTCGACAGAAAAATTCAGTGCTTTTTCAGTACGTCCATTAAATGAAATTCGAAAACTTTCGAAAATTTGAAATTCTCGCTCGAGTTGCGACAAAATTGACGAGGACACAAAATTTAAACAGTGCTTGAAGACTAACTGACCTGCATAATCGCGATGTTGCAGGCAAATACTACTCCAAAAAGCAATGCGCAGGGGATTGCATTTCCAGGCTTTATTGGAAAACATGCACAGTGTAAATGAAAGAAAAAATTACGGACTTTCCGAACTTTTTCAGTACTTCCGGACCGCCCTTAGAAAATCAGTACTCTTTTCGGACTTCCAAAAATTCCAGACTAGTAGACCCTGATCATCCACTTGAAATTGTATTTTATTTTGCAGCTAAGAACTGCAATTCCTGACTCAAACATAAAAATACCTTCCTAAATAGGGAACCTAATGTACATATCGTCACCTTCCAGGCAAAGTATCACAAGCGCCATACGACGTTTAAAAATTTCCGCCGCCATTTTATTTTTTTACAGAGAAATTGTTCAACGAAGCTGTCCAAAAATTTCACTGAATTTTCTTTGTGCTGCCGATAAAATTTGGTGAAATTTCCAAACAGATTCAACCAACAATTTCTCAGTAAAGAAATAAAATGGCGGCGGAAGTTTTTAAACGTCCCATGGCGCTTGTGATACTTTGCCTGGAAGGTGACGATATGTCGTTTTTAAAATGAGCCAGAATTAATACTTGCCAAATATGTTCCCAATTGCAAAATGCAGTCAAATTAGCGGCACAACACACGCCAATTTTAATCACCCTTCTTTGATGACTGTGATAGAAGCAGATAAAACTTCATTTCCTGAACTATTGAATCATCCACATTCACTGTCTGCTTTTTTTTTTTGGTCCTAGGATTGCCAAAAAGCCTAAGATAGGTGGCCTAATCAGAAAATGATCCTCCAATGGCCATCTCTCCCCGCGAGAGTACTCCAGGACCAACCAATAAGGATGAGAGCTGCACAGAGGGGCTTTGAGGTCATTTCACGCTGTACGTGGTCCAAAATTGCAACAGCATTCCTTGGAATGTGAGGTTTCACACGGCGGCGATGACGTGACAGACAGCGTACGAGCGTTCGAAGAACGGCCTCCACCTTCTCTACGATCCTCAGCGGCGATGGCGAGATAAATCGAATCTGCAGACAGCAGCGGCGGGCGAGAGGGAGACCGTACTGCAAAGAGGCAAAGTATGGGGGGGGGGGGGCTCTGCGCATGCGCAGGAAGCTCTTTAGGTCAGTGAGACTCACGATCAGAGGAGCGTGGAGTCGCGCACTTGCGGAGTGGAGCAAGCAGGAGAGAAACTAGGATCTAACGTGAATCGACAACTATCGATCCTATCCTATTTGGATCCATGCAAAAGGATCGATCATTCGAACACTGTAATAATCGATCCTATCCCATTTGAATCCATGCAAAAGGATCGATTATTCGAACACTGTAATAATCGATCCTATCCCATTTGAATCCATGCAAAAGGATCGATTATTCGGACTCTGTAATAATCGATCCTTTTCCAAGGGTTTAACGAACGGATCGATCGATTCATCGAAAGCGCAACACGGCACTGCTGTGATCATGATTGCTCGCGGGTGTGTGGAATAGTTGCCGATCAACTACGATGGTCGTTCGAAAAGAAAGTTCACTGATTTTTTTATCTGCTGAACACTGATGTATCCAAAACTGAGATTGCTGCGAGCTGTTCATGCGTTGAATCACAACTGAAGTTGGATTTTCGATTCCGCCTGTCACCTCTTGGATCATAATTTACGACCGGAATTTGTTTATATTTATGAAACCTCTGGTTACACAAAAAAACACTAAACTTCCGATCCACATAAATTATGAGTAAGTGTCTGACAAATCTTTTCTCGATGACGGAGTGAAAAACAACAGTTCGAAATGACAGTGGTCACCCGGGGCTGGTAGTGAGCGTGGGATTAGCCAATAGGGGTTACTTGAAGCTTGTAAAAAAAAGAAAGAAAAAAAAAGATTCTTAAAAACATCGACAAGAAAAAATACTCTTGATTCAATCGGATTTTTGCTCAAATCAAGAACCAAGCCTCTTAACTTGAGCGGATTTCCTTTTGATATAAGCTTAAATCTGATTGAATCAAGAGTATTTTTTCTTGTCAATGTTTTCAAGAGTCTGGACTCTATACTAGATCCAATGTGTTTTTTTTCCCAGTGAAGGGTATTAATCAAAAACTCCATGCCACACGTCACGAAAAAAATTCCGAGCTTTCTTCCGTGTTTTTTTTTCCCAGTGTGGGTCATATAAGATATGGATTACCGCTTTTCTCGTAGACCCATTTCTGACACTTGAGTCGTTTTGAAAATGACCGATTCAATTGTGAGCTTGACTTAATACTTTCAGTAATAACTTACTTTTCCGGCGATGACGGCCTGGACGGTGAGAACCTGGGCCGGTCTGTGGTACTCGAGGACCTCTCCGGGCAACACGTGCCCGACTCCGGGGTCGAACCATATTAGCTCCCCCTGGAAAACACAAAACGATTCAATTAAACAGTGGCTTTCTCACGCCGATAATTGATTTGCGCGAGTATTCAACGACTGCTCAACTCCTGCAATTAGCTCTCAATCAGGGAGCAAGAGCAAGTAATTAGGAAACTACCGAGTAGACAAATGGAATAAAACAAATGGACGTATTTCTGCCAAACGGAACTACGTGCATTATGACGTGAGCCCTGTTATGCATATATTCTTATGGGTTTCAGGGCTTATGTCTTGATGCACATAGTTCCGTTTGATAGAAATACGTCCAAATGTACAAGATGAAACTTCGTAATTTCCCTCACGTAAGAACGTGACTACATTTCGATGTTGCCAAATTTCCCCCTCGTGAATTGCATTTTAACGGGAAGAATCTTGGGAATTTCCCGCTGAAAATTTCACAGAATTTCTTTTCGCTCTCATGCGAAAATCAGAGAAAACTTCGACAGCAATTGCGCAGGTACATTCTCGTAAAAAATTGAACTGATTGCTTCAATTTTGCAACCTTAAAATGAAGTGTTCCTTCTTTCGGAAACGAAGACTTCTACAACAATTGGACGTATTTCTGCCAAACGGAACTATGCGCATTATGACGTTATCCCCGTTATGCGTAAATATTATTCTAATGGGTTTCAGGGCTCAAGTAGTCTTAATCCACACAGTTCCGTTTGGCAGTTTATGTCCAACTCTAAAACCGCAAACTTGCACTTAGAGCGAAGATAGAAATAGACTAGCAAAATATCGCTAATTTTCGGCGGGTAATCCTGCATGCATTAAAGATATAAATAACTCGCATTCATGCGCGAATGTGGCAAAGTCAAGATACGGTTTATGCAAATGTATAGTTTTAGCCAAAGCTTCCCGAAAATCGTTAGCTCTTGAAAATCAGAGGTCCTGTGGGAATGGCAAGGAAATGCAAAGATTTATTCAACGCAACGCCCTTCGGGCTCCGAAATTCGAAAAGTCTCAAAAAACAACGAACCGTATCCACTATAGTCGTAAAATCGGAATCGTGGTATAATTTTTGCACAGCGCCTATGAAAATGCGCTAAAATGATGAAAGCGAGAGGCCAACCCCCAAAGAGGACGATTTTCTGTCGTATCGGTGGCCAAAGAGCGAAACCACTTATCTTAATTGCGATGTTTCAAAATTTCCGCTCATATTTTATTGTTTCGAAGATATTGAAATTTAGGTGGAGCATAATCTGCTGACAGAGAACTCGAGACAGTTGTCAAGAAATTACGTGGACTAGCTCTCCGACAAGAAAATAAAATATGACACGAAGTCTGCAACGTCCTGAACAGAGATGAGTTGTTCGGCACTTTGGCCATCGATGAAGTGGTTTATGTTTCGTTAGGGATCTATAACCTTCTGAAAGGCCTAACATTTCTGTAAATTTAACACTACCAGGATAACCGGAGCAAGGCCCGATAAACATTGAGTATCTCGTCCCAAGGATGAAATCGTGGTTTTTGGCAACCCCTAGCAACGCCATATCGCGCGCGCGCAGAGCTGGAGCGAGGTCCCGAAGCGATGTCAACTCTGGGCGCTGCTGAGGAAGAACACCGTACGAACCATCAGGCGTTGCCAAATTTCCTTCGAAAAACAATGAATTTTCCAGGAAAATCCATGAATATTCCTCCTCCGATTTTTCGGAAGATTTTCTTCGAAATATAATCTAAACAGTCTGAAAATTCCAAGGAAAAATATTCAAAACTTTCTTCAAAAATGTACGCTTTTTGAGAGGAAATTTGGCAACATTCGGATGCTCATACGGCGTTTCTGGGCCTGTGCTCAACGGCCGTGACGGCGCACAGTGGATCGAGTCGATTAAAGAGGTTGTATATTAAATTTTTGATTAAAACTGGGAATTTCGATGTTTATTTCGTCACATTTCACATTTCAAGGGGTGCTTCGAGCAGGAAATGTCACGAGGAAACCGATAGAACCACTTTTAGAACCTCAAAGTTTTGTATAGACGGAGTTATAAGCGTTTGAAGTTTCCAAATTTTGTGCGACCTCTCCAATTGACTAGATCCACTGTGCGGCGCGGGCGCGGGATCGGATCCAGGTTGACGGCTGCTGAGCCAGGAAGACGCGGCGCGGCGAATTAACGAGTTGAATTGCACCCGTGTTTAATTACGATTACGCATCAAGAGCGATCGTTAATGCATTAATGCCTTATTACCCACACACGTACGCCGCACTTGGCGCAACCCACTTGCCCAGCGGCTCCAATCGTTTATGCTCCTCGGTATCGGCACCCGGTTCCAGCTTTTAATCGCTTTTCCTCCGTTTCACACCTTTAACACCCCGTTCGCGAGGAGCCAAGGCCGCCGCGCCTTCAGCTCCCGAAACCAGTGGAAAACCGCTTGATGAATGTATACACGGAGAAAAAAACTTCGTGCATGAGACCCGAAGTTGGGGTCACACATGGATTTCTGAAGTTTTCTGATCACGCATCCGAAAACTTGAGGTCGAGCTGCCGAGATTCGGGTCAGACATCGAGGCACTTCGGTATGTACCGGAGTACTTCAGATGTGTCACCCGAACCCTTCGGTAGGTATAGAAGTACTTCAGATGTCTGACCCGAACTTCGGCAGCTGGACTTCAAGTTTTTAGATACGTGATCCGAAAACTTCAGGGATCCATATGATTTCAACTTCGGGTCCCACGCACGAAGTTTTTTTCTCCGTGCAGGGTGACCCAGGGTTAAGTACGATTATTGAAGGAGTCGATTCTTTGGGTCAAAAAAGACGTTTTTGTGGTTTAACTTGTCTTCCTAAAAAGCTTTCCCTGTGGGCTCCATTGTCCCCCTATTATCCCCTATTTTTCTCTATTAGTCTCTATTATCTCGAAAACGATGAGTCATAGCGAAAGAATGCAAGATACATTTTCCCAAAACTATTCAACGCTGAATCTAGTGCGGTGCCGTCAAAAATCAATTTTTGTCGCTAAAATCATTACTTCTTGCCACATTTAGGTTCGATACCCCCGTAAATCCCCACTCAAAATGAGTTTTCCCTTCATCGGAGGTCAAAAATGAAAAGAACGCTAAAAATTACTACCTGTTACCAATTTTCATTAATTTTGGTTGATAAATAACATATTTGTGTTAAATAGAAGATTGTTTTTGACTTTGAAGGGCCGTGGCCCCCAGGGAAAGCGTTTTCGGAAAAACATTTAAACCACAAAAAACATCTTTGTTTGACCCAAAGAATCGACTCCTTCAATATTCCTACTCAATCTTGGGACACTCTGCATCTTGGCGCTTAGTTCCTTTTGATTTAATGTCAAAACCCACTTTGCCAAAAGGAATCACGCCCACTTTTACATTGTTTCTTATCCAGATTGCACGAGCACACCCCACTTTCCCTCACGTCTCTAGTTCCTTTTAGCATAAATACATCCACGTGACGCTGACACTGAACCCCCCCCCCCCCCCCCCCCCNGGGTGACGTGGCGTAACGCAGACTCACATCCTTAGACTTCCAATGAACTGCACCTAGCACGCACCACAAAAATTCTTCAGTGCAGACGTACGGAACATAACCGAAAAACTGAAACGCAGAACCGCACTTAGGCGGTTTTGCGTCAAAGGACCACTAAACAAAGTACGAATTTCAGCATTCTGATACATGTTTCGTAACTAAAATTTTACATAAAACACAATGCGTACGATCAAAATTGCCGAAATTAACTCCTTACGAAGATATTTAATGATTCCTGATGCATGAATTTAAACCACCCGCTTATGAAAATTCAATGCTCCACGTGATTCACATCGTGCGCTAAACGTTATCATGAAAGTCTCTGGCGATATAAACATCTGGCAACCTCAATCTTGACGCTTTGGCTCAGCCATAGCAAATTGCTGTAATAGTTCTTCAGATTCCAATATTAAACCAAGATGACCAGGAATGTTCACGAATGAACGTTTTTCCTTAGAAATAAGTACATTTTTGCAGAAACTAAGTCAAATACGTGCTTCAAAAACGACGGATTGTATAACGATTGTAATAATTATAATCACTCAGGATAATTTGAATTCAAAGGTTGACTGCCCTTTAGGGCCTTAAAAGCTCCATGACCTTACCTTAAAATTACCAACATGCCCGCACTCTCTCTAAACAGACATTCCTGGGCAAAAACGCCGCATCGCGGCAAGTGGTCGCTGTTTTGGAGCTTTCTTCACCCCTAATGATTCAATAAGTATAAAAGCTCTATCAACACTGAAACGGGTCGGAATGATTTTCGATCGGTGGAAAACGAACTGAACCCAGGTTGCGACGCACAGTGGATCGAGTCGATAGGAGAAGTCGGAAAAAATTTGGAAACTTTAAACGCTTATAACTCTGTTCGAACAAAACTTTGAGGTCCTAAAAGTGGTTCTATTGGTTTCCTCGTGAAATTTTCTACTGGCGGCACCCCTCGAAATTTAAAATGTGACGAAATAAACATTAAAATTTCACGTTCGACCTCTCTAACTGACTCGATCCACTGTGCGACGGACTCGGAGAGATGCGCAAGCTCAGAGAAAGTGGGCGCAGAGCGAGAAGAGCCTCGCCCTGGCCGAGCCGCACAATGAATCAAATCAATAGGAGAGGTCGGACAAAATTTGGAAACTGTAAAAGCTCATAACTCCGTTCATACAAAACTTTGAGGTTTCAAAAGTGGTTTCATTGGCTTTCTCGTGAAATTTTCGTCGTGAGGTACTCCTCACAATTTAAAATGTAACGAATTAAACATTATTTGGGGTTAAGTTAAAAATTTCATGTCCGACTTCTCTAATCGACTCGATCCACTGTGCGGCCGTCTGTGTCTCGCCGCAAAGGTCGCAGACTCATCGCTGCCACCGCGACCCCCTCATCAGGCCGGCCTTATGGCTCCCATCAAGTTCCCATCGGAGTTCCGGTCAGAGTAACCTATACTATCTATGAGAAAACGTACGGTCGCACACTTGAAATACCGCCAGAAAAGACTG